TGCAGTACAATAACTCATTTGTCTTTGTAAACCCAAAACAAGATCAATTGCGATGACGAGCTTCTTGCGCTCTATGGAGATGAGTCTTTAAGAAAGTTTGAAGTTAATTGCCAAACCATGAAAGTCGCCGGATCCTTGGAGGAGAAATCAGGGCATGAGTTGTACGAGAGAAACATTTCGAAGCTCATCTATATTTTTCAAGCTTAGTACCACGACCGTCGAAACTTTACCCGGCATCCATCAGGCCAACGTTCCTTTGCAACCTTTTTCGATAGTGCAAGTCACAAGACAGAGTGAAGAACCCAGATACTCAGCTGGTACATTTAAACCTTCTAATATGAATAGAATCAACTGCTACTATGAAGACCGTCTTGCGTTGTGGCTGAGTAAATTCAAATCCGCATTCCCCCAAAAACTAAACACAAATGCAAAAAAATGTGCAACGTAAAACAATTGTTGGAATCTTTATTTCATCGAAACTCGAATCTCAAACGGGAGACTCCATACAGTGCCGTGTTGTGGTCGCCTAGGTCAAAGAAAGCCCTGCTGAAGGGTACTGATTTGTGAAAGTTTCGCCTGCACGGATGGCACAACAACGTATACGACACCCAACGCAGGAGCCGGGTCCGCCTTCCACGGAAGTACTCATGAGAATTGAACGAGGAAATATTTGGTTGGAGCTTAACTTTCATTTTTCCTACCTGTGTGCATCGTGTTGCTGAACGATTTCTTAACCGAATTGAAATTTCGTGGAAAAGAAGGGAAAATTTAAAATTATAAAAGTTTTGCGGAAAAGTTCGAAAAATGCTAAATGGTTTGTGAAGCGAAGAAGTTAAAAATTAGTGAACTGAATTAACAACATTTATTCGCACAGTAAATCTTACTTTAAAATCTTAACCACATTAGCTACGAAATAGGCTCGGGTTTGTCTGCATATATACGCCTTCAGCTGTAAGGTGCCTGCAATAAAGAAAACGCATTTCAACCCTGCAACGAACATTCGCCAAATCACTTCGATGACATAATAATGGCAATCAATTTCTATTCGTCCCAACTTTCGATTCCGGTAATATTTAATGAAACTACATCGGATTCACTTGAACCGCAGCTAACTCGACGCAAGGATTGCTAGCCAGCTAGGTGGTTACCCTTGCTTTCTAAATAGAAATTTACGATAACCTACAGGAAGCTCGAGCGGGATTATACCGAATATAATAAGAGTGATGCTGCTGGATACAATGAAGCCATTCTTTCGTCCTTAAAACTATATTATTGAAATTCTGACAAATTGTTGATCATTTTCAACTGAGATTGAATGTGTAACAGCGACTAACAGCCTAATTAGTGTAAATTTTGCTTAAAAATATTTATAGACATGAATTGTATAGTTTAATTGTATCTATTCTCTGTCAAGCGATTATCAATTAGAGCTGTCCCGTTTTAAAATCTTCCATTTCACCGGAAGCGTAGAATTCCTTGATTTTATATACATTTCATTAAAAATTAAAACGTTTCACATAATATTTCTATCCTAAATCTTGCCTAACCGGTCAAGTTTTGAAATTTGCATTTATGGCATGAATGCTGAATCTGCTTAACCAAGAATGGATTTATTATCATTAATACACTATGATAGAATTGAATTTCCACATTTCATGGAAATAATAACAAAAAATGAGTCAATCCAAATTTTAAATATCCCGCATGCTACACATGCGAGTCTAAAAAAAAATATGACCAGCATAGCGGAATGTTTATATATGCATCATTCAACATGCTTTTTAGAATACTTTGAAAAATTGTCATAGCTAGATGCACCCAGTCTAATATTGTCATTAATACGAATGATTGAGTGCAATAACATAAAAAAGTTTCCTTCAGTCAGATGATGCGTTTTAACCGCACGGTAGAAATTTTTTTAATAAATGATTTCGTTTGCACCAAGCGATTCTTATACAAAAAGTCACTTGAATACTGAAGCGATACATGTATACAAGTCTCTTATATGTGATGCCCAGCTGCAGCAGACAGGTTTACGCGGCCAAATTTCGAATCGTCATCCGGTTCTGAAGATATCTTCCTAATGATGGTCAGAGCAGCTTGAGGGTTTTGATTTCACGGTTGTAAAGGGCACCAAAATTACACAAATTCTGTAGTGCAAAGCATTAATTATTGTTCGATAATGTACTCGGGAAACGACCGATTGATGGTCATTTGATGCATGATTGAACTGATGAAACATGAACTGATTGAAAAAGGTATGACTGCTCATTAGGTCGTTAGAAACATTACAGACGAATGTACGTTAGTACAGCAAAAGTAGCACATGACATTACAGTTACTTCATAGTAATAATAATAATTCATAATGATCGAAAAAATTATTCACCGTTAATTTGTTCACAGTTTTGCTCGGTGAAATCTGGCTTAACTTATGGCGATGCTGATATTTTCATTGTAAATTACCCAATTGAAGAAGCATCAGTAATAGTAAAATTATTGGTTCGCGATTGCAGAAAATTAATTTTTAATGCATTAATTCTGAATCAGTGCTTCAGAAAGCCATAGTGTATAAATTCTAATATAAATTTCTATTGATGAAAATAAATTTTTCATCTGCGAAGATGTCACTGCGTCATCAGTTGTAGAAAAATTTCGTCTTAATCCTAAACAATAGTTAACAGCTCAAGCTTGTCTGTCCCCTACAGAAATGAATTTTGTCAGTTCACGTCAATAATTGAACCATTTACGAGCAGGCAACATTGGAGCAATGAGTAGCGGGTTCGATCCCGAGCTAACTTTTATATTTCTGCAATGTCTGCAATCGGTGACAGCCTGACAGGCCAAAGATGACGTTATCTCCAACGCCGAGGCTTACAGAATCAGCACCTAAGTGAGTAGAAATTTAGTGCTGACATCACAAAAACACATTTGGTGAGAGATTGACATCTGAATACTTGAATAAATACTCCTTGCAAACTTTAAGCAATCTATTCATGACTAATTGGTACCCAAATCAGAGACCACTCGATGGTACGGTACTTGAAATGTAAAGGAACCAAAAATGTGACGGCTAATCAATTTGAAAAGAACTTCGATGCTGGAAGAACTTAGATTATGTAATGGACTGGAGTATTCATGCAATAATACGTAGAATATGAAAAGTTACAATTTATCCTCTATTACGTTTATCCTTCCAACGTCAATGTTGCTCAAGCCGCCAGAGGAATCCTATTCAATTCGCTGTCCTTCATTATAAAATAAAATTCAAATATAAATTAAAACTGCCTTCATACTGTGTTAAATGGAGTTTGGGCTTGTCGAAAACATTAAGCCGGTTTTGAAAAGCAAACAGAAGCCTCTTCATGTCCTATAAAGTTAATTTTATATACGGTGGTCAGTTATTTTTTAAGAAACGTGCAAAAAGGTCGCTGAAGACTTACTTTCTCTCTTAGAAAGTTAAGATCTGAAATAAATCGTCTGCATCCAACGCATGGTAGCAAAATTGCACAAATAGACGTACTTGCAAGGTAATGTAAAGACCAATTATACATTTTAGTTGGAATTGAAGTGCAAATATAATTAAAGACTCGCTATGAAACTTATAGTGGCATTGCACGCTCGTATGTTTGTCAGTGCCGATACGCTCGTAGAAATTAACCTCTTTAAAATAAAAACAGCCTTAAACATGTTCACATCACGCACTCAAAGTTGACTTAACCTTTACCGCCTACACGCGGTGCCACACAACCTATCATAACACGCGTCTACACGCAACTGAAAGCTTGGTGTAAGGAAAGCATCGAAATCTCTGTAACAACTTGGTGGTCGTTAGCCTGCGTTGTCGTGCGTGCTAATGCCATCTGCACTCCGCTGCCGACGTACGTCTGGCTAGGTCCCTTGCTTTCCAGTCTAAATGAACGTTTCATTCCTAAAGTAATGAACGTTTCATTCCTTCATCTTCCTTTGCGTACGCAACGTAAGAAATGCATTAAATATTATTTCGTGCACACGAGGAAAAAATATAACTCAGTACTCACTGCAGTGAGTGACAGAGAGCGCATTTTCGGTCGCATTTTCTCGTCGACGAAAACCTGGTCACGGACGGACGGACAGACAGACGGACGGACATGACGAGCACTATAGCGCCTTTTTTCCATAAATAAGAAAATGCGCTAAAAATGTCCCTAGAACATACTAACTTTCGGGTGCTTCTCCTATTCGGGTGCTAATTTCTCACAATTGTCTTCCAATCAAGATCTATCAATTAGTATTGAGATGATAATCTAACGGTTGATCCTGGAAACTTACTTTAATTATAAGTATTTCATGAATATTTATTTACTCTAAAATTCAATTTTTAAATAAAGATATAAAATTTGCATTAAATTCAAAGTTCGGTTGACACATTCGTTCTATCATTGCATCCAGCATTATCTCTTTTCCTCGCATTGTTGTAGTTTTTAGGAGTATTTACCCATAGAGTTAACATATTCAATAATTAGATTTCGAAGATACGTAACTCTAAACATTTTAAAGCTAATCAATTCGAGAACTCGTCACCAACATTTGCCGTTATTCGGTAAATTGTTTTAACATGTCATTCCCACGTCTTGGGGCCATTTTACAACTTATTACCTCATCAAGTAAAGACGAGTTTTGATTTATTTGGAGCGCGACCTGAGCCAATTTAAGGTTTTTGCTTCTATAGTTTAACGTAACATGAAGATGAAACAATTATAACCGTTACCCCGAATGATTTGCCAACACTTTGGACTTTATAGTCCTCTCTAATAAAGCAATAATCCCTTTGTGAATTATAACGTGCAGGGAAAGAAACCTTAAAAGATGATTTGCCTCACCAACTTCATTTGAATCTCCAAGCAGAAGTGTATAACCAACACCCGATTTCGATAGAACCTGAAATGCCACGTTCCAGTGCGATGTAAGAAAAGTGAGAACTAATATGAAGTGAAAGTTTATAGGGTAGAAACACAACGATGGTATTCAATCGCTTTTTAATGGGACTTATTCCGATACAAATGACAAGAAAAACAACGTATCCTACAGCATCCCAAATCAAGATTGCATACGGATAAATGAAATCATCTCCACTGAAGCGCAGCTTTTTGATGCACGCATTAATACTGTTGTTATAGATTGAAGAGATACATAGGCACGAAGCTAATAAAAATATATGAATTTATAAACGATTTAGATGAATTACAAAAGAAAGAAAATAATCTGCGTACTACAACTTTGCTTTAAAAAGATAGAAATTTTCTTCAAAATAACACCGCATATAAATCCAAATTAAGCTTTATAAATAACCAAATAGAATACCTCGAGGCTTGCGAACCAACAAGAATTATACAAAAGCGAAACAGATTTGCTTAAAATGTTCATAAACATCAAATCAAATGTAAGAATACAAAATCAACCAAGAAACAATTGCTGCGTGTTTATAAGTGATCAGATGGAGCACTTCACCAAACGTACCCATACGGAAACAGATCTCCGGCATTCGCACCTGAAATTTTCTAGGCCGCCGACAATACCCGCTAAGATACTACATAGTTCACTGCAACATCAGCTCCAGAAAATACCAGGACTGAGGATGGAAATGACGCGCATGTTTACGTTCAAAGAAGGCTCCGATGCATAGCTGGCTTAAGGAAAATACTATGTCATTACTCTTAATCGTTCAACACATAAGCTAATAAAGTAAAATTTAATTCAAATTAAACGTTAAGATAGATTACTCGACTACTGCTAAATCAAACTTTACTACACACGTGCCGCATTCCGACATGACGCGTTCAAAAAAATCCAGTCAACTGGACTAGATAATATGCAGAATGAAATCTCTTCCTATAAATCGTTAAAGCACAAGAGATACGTACCATGAATAAAACCAAGTCGTATCTTTGCAGTTACACACATAACTTATAACCTTAAAGCTAAAAGACACGACTTCAGTTACCATAAGAAAGCATATTAGAACCTAAGATCCATTATTTATCGGCTTTTTTGAACCCCAAACCCTTAGCATGATGTTCACTCTGTGCCTAAATATTCTCTTATTCCTCTACACTAGACAAGAGCTAAATTTTATACAGTTAAGGCTTGTTGGAGTTCAAGGTTAATTAGAGGATTGGATTTGAAGTCATTACGTTGAATAACTTCTTCACATATATAAATAATCCAAGTAATGGTTACTCTGCTGAGACACTATAAAATATGGAATTCCTTTTGAGGATAGCGGTCAGCAGAACGGCTATATCATTCATGCTACGAGAAATAAATTCCTAACTACATAAAGCAAGACATACCAATGTACGTATAGTGGCGGTTATCGATATAAGCAAGAGAAGTAATGAATATACGACGTAAGGATTCCAAGGCAACTTTCGATCAAATTAACAGAGCTTGATAAATCCTCACTAAATTTTTCATGTACTCTAACACGTTACAAAACAGCAAAGAAAATACAACAAATGTATTCATTATATCACGAATAGCAATACAATAGAAATGACATTTTCAGGGGCTCCTAGAGGCGTATAAATAATTAATCGAGCGACTCGTGTAACAGTATTCAGGACCAAGATATTAATGAAATTCTTCAATATAATAAAGGAGACAAGACAACATGACTGATATGACGTAACGATGATAGTGGCTTCAAATAATAACTTATCTGACCTAAAGAAAGCATCATTAAGGATATGGACACACAGGCAGACACACACACTCGATAGACTTATATTATACGTAGAAACTATAAAACACATTTATGTTGATCATAAAACATCGTTAACACGCAAGTGACAATTAGCCTTTTTTTGGAATCAAAATTTACCAAGTATCAATAAATTCTATCGTGATTCCATTGAAGAAAAGATTCTTCTGTAGAAAGCTCAGTTAACAATACGGACTCAACTTTACGATCACTGGCCAGTGCGATATCCTTAGACCAATACTACAAAATTCCAACACTGAACTAAAGATACCCTCAGCCATTTCCAAAACACATACAGAATGAAAGTTGTCTAAGATATTCAAATCAACACACCAAGACGCCGGCAATTTCCTTCTATTCACCGGATGGGCAAAAATAAACAGAAAATGTTTGCCTCTGAGTTTATGACATAATCCCCTAAAGTTATTGATCAAAACAATCCACTAGAGCCGCTTGACAATCAAACATGAGTTCCCGACTCTGTGAATGAAAAAAAAAACGAAGTTCTGGATAACTTTTTAACCTGCTATCAAAAAACCCCAGCACCGTTTCGTAAATGAACAGTTTGTCTTTTCAAATTATTGGTCATCAAGCATTTTTATCCCTCTAATCTCGGCGAGGTTTTCTTCGCTGACGAGGCGACGGCTGCTTTTCCTGTGGACGAGACAAGATGATTAAGAACGGGGAAAAATTCACAGATCTATCGCAACAATATTTCAGAACAATATTTTTCATATGAGCTTTGAACAACTGAACCAATGTCGCTCGTTACTCGATTATTTAGTTGCAATGCCAATAAATGAAAAGATAAAAAGGTGACAATAGAAAAAGAAGTTTTAGAAAAAATTGATCTCAAGCCATCAATTTTAACAAAAGATTCAAATAATAATTCATAGAGAACAGTTAAAATTTAATCAGTGTTTTGAAATGCTTTTAAATTTATATACAAACTCTCACCTCATCTGATTTACTGGACGGATCATCGAGGCCATCTGCGGCCTCCTCTTCTTGTGAACTTCCTTCTTCTTTATCGTCTTGTTCTTCTCCATTATCCTCATCTCGATTCTCTTCTTCGGGTTTTTCTTTCTCTTCCTCCGCTTCTGCATCCTCTTCCTCTGCTTCTGCATCCTCTTCTTCCTCAGCATCCTCAACCTCATCAACATCGTCACCTACATCGTCATTATCTTCTTCCTCTTCAACAATTCCTTCAGGCCTGTCCACGTCATCCGAGGTGTGGGCGTCGGTCTTTTTGCGTGATGCTTGATCTTCTTCAGCTTTCCTATCCTGTAAACAAAAAAATATCAATCAACAGGAACCTTATTTTTCCAAATTGAACATTCAAAAAAATTATTTTAATTATATCTTGACACGTTAACACAAATAATCCTCACATTGAAATACAGTGGACACTCAGAGGTGGACTGACTCAGAAATCGACAAGATCAAAAGTAGACGCAACATTTTGCAAAAATAAAGGCTTCAAGTTGTCGGAAAATCTCAAGTCGATGCAAGGCATGTGCTTTTTATAAACTACTGCTGCTGTATCACAAATTCAATACTAATTTGCGTTAGTCAGGAGCATTAATCAGTTGCCCAGAAAATTAGATCGGGCATTGCGGCATTTCGTTCGGGATCAGGGCTTCAATAAAAAAAAATTCGGATTAACTCCATTATCATTTATAAATCATCATTCAAAACACACCTAATCCTAGTCATGTTTCAATGCCACGTAATCAAAGAATTTTTTTCTGGACGATAATCATTAATAATTTAATCCAAAACTAGAGCATTTTCCTATTTCGTCAATTCTAAATCGACAATATGAGACACGTTAATGCCACTGACTATAGGCGAGGCACAGCAGCACATGATGACTAGCACGACCGGCACGGCCACCAGCAGCACGTAGATGGCATACAACCAGGGCCTCTCGTTGCTGTAGTCCAGGAATCGCTGCAACACACCGCCCTGACCACAACATCAAAAACTTAGAAACTTGGAATTTCAATGCAAGACTAAAGTTCAAAATGTAACACACATCGGAAGATAGCATGGATATGGATACAAGTTAAATTTCACCATGTGCATCACCATGTTTTGTACTGTAGGAATTAATACCTATATGTATTTTTAAAGTTATTTGAGCTACGTAAAAGCGAAGTGTAATTATTCATTGCATGATCAAACTCAAGAGTAACTACTTGACCCAGCAAACAATAATAAATCAAAATAAGTGAATCCCTGTTCAATATACGATGAACATATTGACAAATATTTTTTGATAGATAAATAAATAGATAGCAGCAAATAATCAGGAAAATGTCGAGGCGGCTTCACATACAAAAATCAAAATAATGGGTTAACAGACTAATAAAAAAAATTTCTCGACATTAAAAGTAAAAGCAAAATTAGAGAATCTCACCTTGCCCTTCTCGAGCTTAGCAATCTTGAGATCGAAAGTCTCGGCAGCAAACTCCTTTGCTTCAGCAATGTTGTCCGAGATGAAAATGTTGTCAAACAAGATATTATTTGACATGGACCACAGCTCGAACCCAACGGCGCTCTAAGAATGGATGAAGAAGATCAACACAATCAATTTTATTGGGCTATTTGAACTGCAACTCATAGTAATCAACCTCTTCTTGAACAGTAAATCTCCTAGTGAAACCAATAAAGTTTAACTAAAATGGACGTACTTGAAATGAATTCTTCCAATAAATAAATACTTTAAAAATATTCAGCGTTTTATGAGCTCAAGCTAGAACACAGAAATTTTCAAGTTATACTAGTGGTACGACATAAGGCGGCAGAAAATACTTAATAATAATTTGACGGAGGGAAGGAGAATGAACTCACAATAGGGGTCATCTTGAACGGCTCGAGATCATTGAAGTAATTGGGGTTGGGAATCATTTGTGGCATCCAGACTCCTCGATAGTTGGGGTTAGTGATTTGCTTGGGCTTCCACTTGCCCCTGAAGTTGGGGTTGTCAATGAGAGGACGTTGCCAAGGCCCGCAGCCAGGTGCCCCGGAGCAGGCAGGGTTGTTGATCAGAGGCGCCTCCCACTCGCCGTCCATTTCGTTGTCCCTGCGCGTATCAGCCAATAAGATTGTCGGTATTAACGATCTTGTCTAGACTCAAATTGAATGCGATTTTTTAAAGGTACGTATATGATTTTTGTTTAGAGTGCAATAAATTAAAATTCAAATTAAAGCATATTAATTTGCTAAAAAATTATTTCACATTTCACCAGCAGGAAGACATTGTAATTAGTTACACCTACACACCCTCATCACTATAGCACCCACAGAAGTGTCCCAGACTCCAAGAGTGTACCAGTTACAGCTTCAGGTAAATGTGAATGATGAAGATGATTAATAAATTACCAGTCATCTGGACGGACTGCCTCGGGATCGGGGATCATATCGGGCTCATTCTCCAGCCACCCGCTAGGCATGGTGGCGCTGGCGTCAGGGATCTGTGGTAAATCAGGTGTTAAGGATTACTTTCAAATGGTCGATAGAACTAGTGATTAAATTTAATGAAAGAAAAAGAACACAAATCAGTGCTAAAAACAAAAACAAATGAGTAACGTAACTACGTAGAAATAGCTGCATATATATTTTAAGCAAGTTTGATTGAAGACCAGAGCATGCTTCAATTAAATCTTAATTTTTTTCAATGAAACGAACAAAATTTCTTGCTGGCGCCGGGAGATCAAAAAGCAGGTTACCAAATGAAATTTCAATGGAATGCGAAGTTTGCAAGTTGATAGCTGGAGATTTCTTCAGTCTTCAGCTATCAACTTGCAAACTACAAGATTAGTCCGGATGCTGAAATTATTTTCAGAGTAATTTCAAGTTTAGATTTCAAACTGTATCCGCAATACCTTTGATTTGTACTACTGTCATTTCCAAAAGTTTATTTTCAAGTGTTGCAAAACCCTTCACTTGCTTGATAATGATTATTTTATATTAGAAGCGTCCCATTCCATTAAAATGTCATTTGGTAACCTGCTTTTTGATCTCCCGGTGCCAGCAAGACATTTTGTTCGGCTCACTGAATGAACAAATAAGAAGATTACGTATTAATAAAAAGCATTCTCTGGCCTTCAATCAAACTTGCATAAAAGAATGGCTCCTGCCGAATTACACCAATATTTTTTTAAATATATATATGTTCTAAAAACCAAGTTAACACGTTGTAGTTTATTTCTGCAACATCAATGATCAGCGAAGAAGATAAAAAATTCCAGAACAAAATTTAAACGGAAGCCCTGAATCACCAGTTGAAAATTAGATCCCACTTTAAACATCGAATCTGATAGTGGCTAATCAAGGGGGAAACTTTGAATAATAAGCAGTACCGGTATTAGACTTCAATTTTCATTTCATTGAAACGGCACCTTTCTGGGAGCATCATCGTCCCAATCCTCAGGCTTCACATCTTCAGGATCAGGAATAGTTTCTCGCTCATCCCAGTCGGTAGGCTTGGAGTCATTGGGGTCGGGGATCTCAGGCTCGGGGTTAACAGGCGGAGTGAAGTCTTCCAACAAGTTGCCTGTGTTGATCACCTAAAAAAATTGCACACATTTTTTAAAAATCCAAAACATTTATTTGGGCAGCATTAGCATGAAAAAATATACATATACACAATCTTTTTGTTTTCAGCTACGTATCATTTCCTAAGATGGAATTTTTCCATTGCTAACTATGAGACTCACTTCGTGATCAAGACTCATTTCAAAAGTGTTGTCAGGTCTGATGATGAGCGTGTAGAGATGTGGTCGCTTGTCAGAGAACGAGTCCTCAAATTTGCCAAGTGGGCGCTGTTGATAGAACATGAATTTAAACCAGACATGGAATGTGCCATATAGCTTGATATCTATCTACACATGATAAATTCAACAAATTAATATTGATTACATCTTATAAAGAAGATGCCGCATGGCAATAAAACAGTGAAAAGACTCGTATTGACTGGTACAATTGCATTTTTGAGTAAAAATAGTGAATTAACGTCGTTAATCAACAAAAATCGCATTAGTAAAATGAAGCGAAACAGGATTGGATCAAATGCTGGAAGAAGCTTTGCAACAAAAAGAACAGTGTAGAATGGACGAAAGAAAACGAGGGCAAGTTGGCCATGGCTCCATCTTCCATGCATGGGAAGGGCTACAAAATTGGACTAGTATACTCGGCCACTCCAAATAAACATTTTTATATGAAAAAATAAGAGGGCAAAATTTACATGATTGGCATACTTTTCAGAATTTAGTACCTAGATCCTGGGATAATTTTGGAAAACTTGAAGAATTAATAGTAGATAAATTAAGCTCAATTGTGTTTTTAAGAGATAAAATTCCAATTACAATTGCACAATGGCAGAGAACAAACAAAGCCAAATTTTGATGCAATATCAAAATGAGTAAAATGCCAGTAAGTCCTTAACTTACCTTAGCATGTTTTTCCTCAATACTGCCATTGAGAGGGTTAACATGACGGAAGATGAAGTGCATTTTAAAGTCATTGCCACATTTGTCAGGCCCAAACATGATGGTGTAGGGAGTTTTCTCCTGGAACTCAGTCAGCTTTCCATCCCCTAGGCTCAGCAACTGAAGAAATACATTTTGCATTAGATGAGATATTATTTAAACAGAAAAATATAGAGTCCCAAATTGAGAATGAAATGCATTGATGCATAATTTTTCAGGTTGATCAAACGGAATATATTGACAAAATATTTATTCTTGTATAACATTACCATTTTCAACTGCAGAGCTTACAAAATTTTTTAAGATAAAAATTATTTATATAAGATATCAATTGATGTTATCTCAAATAAGCAAAGCATTCCATGAATATACTGGTCATGGCAACATGATCAATTCTTGCTCACAGGCCTATAAAAGTTGTACTATGAAAATGAGAAGCCCACGATGAATATTCAGGATACTAACAGATAAAATTATTTAACTACTAACAATGACGTAATGCGTCATAAATCTACAATAATAAACATTACTAATCAGCTACTCACTTTGAGGTAAGCACCACCACACTCTTGTCCCTCTTGTAGGGTCACGTCATACTGTACTACAAATGGCTTGGCACCAAATTTGAAGGGGCGACTGAGAGGAGCAGAAATGGCAGCATGCTTGGCTTTGGACTTGAGAACAAGTCCTCTGTCACCCTTCAGGAGAGGCACAACAGGTTCTTCCACCGACCAAACCCCTGCCAAAAAACAGTAAGCCATTTTACACCCAGAAAGAAACAGGTAAGCCATTTTACAGCCAGACTCTAAAAAAACCTTTTGTAAACATTTAAGTAAAAATTTCAAGAGAAAGCAAGCATGACGAAAAATAATTTGTATGGGTATACTTAAACCAATTTTTTCAGAAGGTGCATCTCAAGGTCTAAAAATCAAACCCTTCTGTAAACCATCTTAAAATAAATAAAAACATTCCAGTTAATGATGTATTCCATAAAAATATGCAAGCTTCACAATTACCGTCATATTTGGCAATTTCTGCATCAACTCCATCTTTCTTAGCTTGTGATTTGATCCAAGTTTTGCTAAATTTGACAATGTCATCAAAAGTTTCAGCCATATAAGAGTTGGGAGGAGGTTTGGGAGTGGCATAAGCAATGTCTTCCTCCTCAACAGCAGGGCTCTCAGTGGAAGCAGCATCTTGTGTCGATGTGCTCTCAAACTGTCGGCACAATATAAAAAATTAATTACAGTACCTATTTCAACAACAACAATTTTAACATTTTGTGAAAACTCCAATCAAATACATTTAAATTCATAGCCATAAACAAGATTAAAACAGATCACTAGCATGTAGGTTTGTTCTCTACACACATTAAACCTTCAAAGAAGAGATCTATAATTAGCTCTCCTCAACATTTTCAACAAAAAATTTTTATTTTAAAGAGTACAAAGCATCAGTTGAAAATAATACAATTTCAGTCACTCAAACTTACCTCCTCAGTTTCCACAAAAGAATCTGCATCAAAATCTTCAACAATGTTGGCCTCAGCAGCCATAAAGTGAAATAGTATGAAGACACAAATGAGCCAGAGGCTCTTACTCTTGGGTATTCTGTCTGAAATGCCCATCCTAAGAAAACTGAAAACTTAATCAAAAATATTTGTTTCTATCTGAAAATAAGAATACCCTAAAATTAAAATGATAAATGAGGGCACATTGGTGGAGAACACATATTTGCATGGAGGGAAAATAAAAGAATAAACTGACTGAGTCACTGAACAGTAAACATGTGATCTATGGTCAGCCTAAGTGGAGGAAATGTGATATCAGATGGATTTGTATGGCTGCTAAAAACCCTGCAGGTGGCTTAGGCTAAAATAAATTGCCAGTAATTCCATGGAATGCATATAATAACAAATGCAGTGAAAATTAACTAAGAAGCGTAATCTGGAAAATTGAATCTGCATGAAGCTAGAAGCACCTTTAATGGAAGCCACATCAGCTAAAGATGAATAATCAAAACAGCAAGAGCTGCCTACTGTACCAGGAGCAATGTTCATGCAATCTGTATGGCATATTTTTATAACTTCAATGCAACCAGTTGGAACATTGCTCATAGCTACAGATAAGCATTGATTTGTTAACAAAGTAATTTGTTTTTATATAATTAAGTGTTCTAATCCTAAGTGTCGAAATCCAAAATTTTTTTTATGAATGCTTTTTTCCTAAACAGTTCTCATTAATTTACTTATACTATATTTGTCATCATTATTGTTTGCAAATAGATAAGCCTATGGCAGAAAAATAATTTAGTTTACAAGCTGCAATTCATTTTCAGTTGACTAATGATGGTTTTTCTATTTCAGATTGCCAGAGCTGGAAGTCCAAAGAAATAAGTTCATGCCTGCTGATACTCTGGAATGATTCTAAACAGTAAACAATTCATCTCTGTTTCTAGGGTATTCAAATAAATTAGCTATATAATGATACGCTTTTCCCTGAAGAACTAAAATATGCTAAAAATTAATAAATTAAATTCCTTGAAAATTAGTCTTTGTATTTGTCTTATGTGATTAATTTCTTTATAAAAATGATGATTGAACAAGTAATTTTGCTAAAATGTCAATACTAGCTTCCAAACTTTAACAGCCTGGCCTCCAATATAGAATTCTCCATAAGGCTGCTATGATGAACATTTCATAAAAATGTTTGGTGAGAAAAAATTTGCATTACAAGGTGTAATTGGATTGTTTGTACCAATAACTAAATAATTAGAAATAGAAAATATGTTGCTGGAATGTTGGAACAGGCTGTGCTAGTACCAGAATCATAAATAAAAATTTGGTCTCATGACTCATGAATGATATCCTACATATTTTATACAATAACATGCCTACTTTTGCACAAACTCCCAACCTATCTACAACATAGTTTTTACATTTTTAAGAGAACATGCTTGTGAATTCACGGACTACTAATATAATATGTATAAATAAGCGGCATTCTCAAGAAGCAAACAAAAATCATGAATAACTTAAAATGATTAGAATATTGAAATACTTATTTTGATAGTCGCGTATGTAAAATTTAAGTAAAAAAAAAAACAAGCATTTTTAGAAACCTTGTGTGGGCCATTCTAGACTTAAAATATGCTTTACCTCTTTTTTGAATTTAATAAAATTAGATAACTAATACTTGTTATTGTGGAATATCAACAAATAAAATTTTAGTGCAGTGATTTATTTTGCTATTTATTTTCTCATTTGGCTGTAACTCGTAGAAAACTCTGCACAGATAGACTTGGTTACAAAATAGTATTAGAGGAATTAGGAAAACCCCTATAGTAATAGGGGTTTTCCTTGAAAATTCTCATTTCAGGCAATGAATTTTCTTTGTAAAAAAGCATGAAAATATGAAGATACAGCTTTTATGATAAATTGGCAGCATAAACACATGTATAGTACTTGACTTTAGCAATCAATGTCAAGGGACTTTTGTAAACCATACATTTGATTGGACCAAATGGACAGATAGCTCTCAAAGCAATTTTGACTTTTGAGTAAAATATATAGCCAAGATATAATTTATTTAGCAAGTACCTATGTGATAAGAGAGATACCGAGAAGTTTCTCAATGCCAACAAGCATTGAAATCCATGTGGAAACATAAATTTTTAATATTTTTAGCTACTTAATGCCATGAAACTTTACTTAAATACAGCTTTTTATTTTGAACAAAATCAAATTTATTGCCTGTTGAACTGTTGGCACGTTGGTTGGTAAGTACACACTTTGCACTGGGCAGTTACATCTTGTGTGAGAAATGATGCTGGGCTCCTAGTCAGCTACCTAGTGTGCTGACTGAGCTCACTGTACTGCAGACTGTGGAGCAGTCCGTAAAGGAGCATTGATTAGTCCTAAATCTCAATTTTAATATTTTCCTAATATGAATCTCATGTTTAATATTAATTATGGAATGGACTTAGTCTGTCTGGAAAGGTTTTTGAATCAAAGTAGAAATTTATGTCTCAGTTGACTCACTTGACTGCACAGTTGTCATTTATAGTTACTAAACATGGGTCTGGTCTGGAGAGTGGAAACCTGGTGGTTACAAAATAGGTTGGTTAACTTACATTTTTGCTTGTAAATGGTAGTTACATTTTTTGTTGCACTCCAAGTAAATCAAGTTCATTTTTGAGTCCTATAAATAGACTAATAAGTACCGGTAGCTTGGATAGCAGCATTATCATACATAAAAAACTGATTAAAATGTTGAGTTGATGAGGAAATTAACAGATTCTTAAAAATTTGTGGTTTGACACTATGCTTTGAGTTTGAGGAACTATGTGACCAACCATTAGTTAGGTAGAATAAACCAGAGTACCGTCAAACAGGGTGACAAGGAACAGGCAGGGTAAATCGGAATGCGCGTCCCACATTTCGTAGAAATGCTGTAGCAGCTAAACTAATCAAAATTTTGCAAAACTAAAAATAGCAGCATAAACTTCAACATTTTTAATATCTATTATGTATAAAGCTAGTTAAGAAATAATACATTTACTATCTCTAAAAAATCGCTGAAAAAAAGAAAGTGTGAAAAGTGCGACTTTGGAAAAGTACCTCTACTAAGGTCTGGAGCAAAAAAATATTTGCCATATTACAAATTTTAATTACATAAAAGTTGCACACAGGTGTTGGCTTGAAAACACAATTGATGGAATTTGCCTACCTATCTCATTCCAAAAAAATGGCAGTTATTTCCATGCGATGGGGTAATAAGGGACAACCCCCCAGAGGGCTCCAGTTAACAAAAAAGGCTCCAGTTAACAAAAAAAGTCAATTAACAACAAAGAATTTTGGTTACATTTACCTTTCTCAGCAAAAAAAATTCACTTCCCAAAAAATTAATGCATCATCAGCCATCACAAAATTGTGCACAGAATGTCATATATAGCATTGTGCACTGGGCATCATAGAATGAAAAGTAATCAACCTAAACTATGATTTTTTTCTCAAAACACATGATGGTTGTTTCTAAAACATTCCTTCCTGCTTCAGGTATGTTTTTTATGATCTTTTTTATATATTTAATTCATTTAACCCAATTAAAATGGTCTGAAATTACAAGCCATACTGTTAGCTTACAGATACAGAAGAAATGCTATACAGCTGCTGTCCTGTACTCCTGCTGATATGATATATATGAAGCTTGCAGTGGACAAGGTTGTTGTAGCCTAAATGCTCAAAGTCAATGGCTTTTTTTTTTTATACGGTAATATCACATCAATAATACAGTAATAAAAGAATATGGCAATATCATATCAATAAAGGATAAACAAGTAAAAAATACAGAAAATGTCACTTATTCTACATATACATCATCTTGGTACAATGAAAGAGGAGGACTTCAGAGTACTGTTAGACTGTTAGTACCTAGCTAATAGATGACTAGGCTAAGATGAGTAGGTAGCACTCGTAGCAGCAACACTATTGTTTAGCGTAGCAGCAACACTGTTGTGTAGCACTGTAGCAGCAAGTTAGCAACACTGTTGCTGCATGTTGCATAGCAGCAACACTGCTGTCAGTGCTGTGTAGCAGCAAGTGTCCAGCAAGTAGCAACACTGTTGCGCAGCAGCAAGCCAGCAACACTGCTGTGTAGCAACAACACTGTTGTGTAGCCCTACACTCTCAACTCTGCATGCTTCAAAGGTTTTAAAATTGAGTTTTATTTCAAGTGTCTTGGGTTAGGCCTACCACCTTGGACCTCCTACTCCTAGTAGTCTAGTACCCTGTTACTAGGGGTAATTTCTAATTTGGGACGGTTTTATTTTGCGTCAGGCACCTTACAAATAGGCCTAGCATATGGAATTTTTTTGAAGATGCCATTCAAAAGCCCTCTCAAAAAGCTATAAAAATAAAATGAGCCTAAACTTGTTTATGAAATGTTTCATCCTAAGAAGTTAGGTATTAACAAAAAACTTTCAAAACCGTTCCTTGTCACCCAGGTTATTCACCCCATCTGACAGTAGCTACTCAGAGTACTTGGAGTAGTATTGTCAATTTGACATTTCGTAAAAACATTACTTTTTGTGCCAAGGGCCGGAGGGAAATATATGACGAATGAAGCCGCATCACATTTCGCACAATTATTCGTTGACAGTAGACCATTGAAAAAACATGAAATGAACTATTTTTCTAAACTTCAACGTTCATCCTACAAGTTGTAGGATGAACGTTGAAGTTTAGGTTGTAGTTTAGGTTGGTTGGTTGTAGGCTACAACCAACAATGAGTGTCTCAGCAATTAGCAAGTACCCAGGAACCCAGCCTATAAAAATTTTATTTCAAAATGAAGATAATACTAATGTCTGCACTCTGACTCCGGCACTCCCCAGGGACTGGCAGGGAGATTTGACAACTTTGTCAATCTCTAATGACAGTGCAATCATTGCAATGGAAATTATGGAAGTTGAAAGATGAAAACCGCAAGTACCAGTAGCAGCGAGTAATCAGCAACGCATATTACAAACTTCGAAGTGAGCGAGCTCAGCTTCCAGCGGGAAGAAAAAAGAGAAGTTTCTCCAGGTGGAATGAAGAGTAAGACATTTCTTAATTAAACCCAGCGTCAGGCCGTCAGCGAGAACTAAGCCTGCCTATCTAAGCCTAAGGTGCTTGCGAAATAACTCACCCAAGTCCAAATAATTTTACGTTTAAAACAAAACTGCTCAAAAATTAAAGTCAACCCTTACAGAACATTAAATGATCACACCTAATAATATTAATTAGTCTAAAAGACACACCATAAAATTTTCTACGTAAGGCTTATTCAGTTGTTGATTTGGAACCCGGAACGTCAGTTGTTCTAGGGCTCTGTCACGAGAGTAAGATAGGTTTACCCTAATATTTCACTAGAATGTTCTAAGGTGTGTCAGCATTATTTTGATCGAAAGTTAATGTTCTTTTGTAAAGTAATATGAAGAAGCTAACATATTTATTCGCTAATCTCTACTGACAAATCAAGGTGCTTATTGATATTTCAACACGTACTGACGTACACAACCCATTCACCGATACTCCGTCAATATCATTGTCAACATACATTTGCAAGGGCGCCGATAAAGCCCGATATGTAAGATGCATTAACAAAATTAGAATTTTTTGTTGCTCCATCATCTTGCTAGTCAGCACTCATAATTGACAACCTAAATAAATACGCATTTTATTCCTGAATGAGATGGATTACGCTTCAGCAGGCTGGTACATTTATCAAGTCAGAGCGGTTTCTCTGGAATCGATATATTAAAATCATGCAACTCAAGCAAATCGCGACGTTCAATAATGAATTTTACTTGTGAATTAATCCTGGAGCTAGAGACCTTCTTCGGCCAGCCAGCAATAACAACACGAATAACAATACCCAGCCTCATGGACTCACAGGCACCACTCGCGAAAATGCTGGAACACCGTCAGCAGTCATCGCTCAAGGAAGGTCGCTCAGAAGCATTCTGTTGTGCATCCTTCAAAGGAGGTAAAAAAGACGCACGCTGTCCCGGCTCCACTTACTTGCAACTAATTAATGTCTCATCCTGCTCACTTGCTGCACGTAAATGGGAATGGAGGCAGCCTTCATTTTTTAAAGATTGAAAGTTAGCACGCAAAATAGGCGGGAGGGGGGTATGAAAATAGTTCAAGGCGTGTACTTCATAATAATTATTATTATTTGGCATAAGTAATTGATATTTCGCGTACAACAATAGAAACATGAATGACAACGACATCAACTTATTCCTGATAATCTTTATTGAATAAAGCAACAGAAAGAACCAGCCGAAATTTGATGGGTTATCAAGCGCATAATTAGCCAATTTAAGCCAGATCTGATGTCAAGTGTCCTTATCATCACCTTGGTAGGAATATTTTTTTTTTAAATGAACATAATTAGGAAACAATTAACATGAAGTTTTTCTTCGATAAATGGTATACTATTGCAACCATTAAAGTCAGAGGATCCAATAAGTGAAAAAACAATTGTTTTACATCATTTATTACATCATTTATTTCAGCCCACCTACCGTAGTTTCTTCCACAAAAAGAAACCGAAGAAACTTTGGGCGTTTAAGGCATTTACATGATAAATTACATATATGCAGGAATAATTTAGGCAATCATCACCTTAGGAGAGCACGTAAATGTAAAAAATTCCGTACCGCAAAAAGTTAGTGAAAACCACCAAAAAATTAGGACAGAAATCAAATAAATAGCCATACACAAAGCAAAATACTTTCACCGAATGGCGCAAATAGGAGAGAAAGAAAGATGTTTACGTATAAAAATAAATTTCAGCGATGTCTCAACAAACATAGACGCCCTAGCAGAAGTGAAGAGGTTAGACCGCAAGCGGACATGATGCCGTGGAGACGAATCTCAGCCAACAAAGTCAGCTGTGGGCATGCAAATGCTAAATACCTTTATTTCATCCACCTTTTTTCACGTTACAATCGGAAGAAGAGCAAGCCTATGAGAAATAAAGAAATTCTTGGGCAACATAAATAGTGAGCAAAAAATATTACCTAATAATGAATGAGAAAGCGTCATGTTATCGAATCGAAGAAGTGATCATTATGTTTTATTGTAGGTAGTAACAAAATATTTATAAATAGTTATCTTGGGCGTGAGCTCAACTTAAATTTTACACGGAACATCTACAGATATAAAAAGCCGAAACCATCTTCCCGAAATCACGTTTTATACTATTTTTAACAGTTCTTCGCCGTGGAGCGTAGGTCCTCGTAAGAGCGTGCAGGCATATGCAAACAATTTACTGAACTTTGGAAGCAGCTCGACAGAATTGGATGAGGTGTACAAGTTGTAGTAGAATTAATCCATAACAATAGAGCTTAATGTACTATACAATAATGGTACTGTACACAACACTATCAAGAGGCTCGTTCGATCCGAACGCACATCACCACTCGCTGAGATCACAACCAGATCGCCGCGGAACACTCGACATAATTCAGGCCAATTTTTTATAGGTCTGATACGGGCAATGTATCTTAGTCGTCACACTACTGCCGATTAACTATCTTGAACACATTATCTTAAGGGACAGGAAAATCTCCGCTTTAGAGTATTACCATACATGTCAAAATGGGAAAATAGTAAGAAATTGTATGACCCGGAGTAAAAGTGATGTTCGTGCAATGAACAAAGTCTCGTATCACACGATGCTGGCAGAAACCTTAAAGAGCCAGGCTGTCCACTCAACCATTTGTACTTCCCAAGAATTTTCAGCAGCATATATCAACTTAACTTTTACAGAAGGACTTCTGGTGAGCTCTCAATATATACAAGCTTTCAAGTATACATGACTGAAGTTTACCTAAGGAGTAAGAGCTTCTCAAAAATGTACAAGAGAATTTAAATTCTCCTTCGTATATCCGGCGGCGATAGTGAAAGACGGAGTCTCAAGTGTGATGTAGTGAGCTACATGGCAATTGTCTGGATAGATTTCAAATTTTAAAGATAATAAATAAACATCCAGTTAGTTTCAAATTTTAACCGTAGATCAATATAGAAAAAAAAAGTTAGAACTTGAAAATGCACGACCGACGACGCTCACTACGATTTAATATAAAATAGAAATGTTCGCGTATCAAACAACCATAACAGGGTTCCACTAAGGGGACGAGAACAAAATAAAATCTGTGAGCAAATTACATGAGTGTCACTGCAGGATCGACTTGCCTAACAAAACACATCACAGTGATGGGTTTCCCAAGTAAAAATATGTACACGACCAGTTCTCATATCATACAGCCTAGTCTTTAAGTAAAAGCTACATACACCAACTCTTCAATTTCAACTAACACATAGGACGAAATTCATCATTTTAATACCAAAAGCCAAATTAATAATACACAAAATATTTAGGTACCTAGAAAATGCCTAGGTAGATGACGCCTTTTCTATCAAGTGTGTGGTTCAAAGAACACTACCGCAACACTTGAGATGGAAGATCTCTGCCAACACTATAGGGCACTCATTGTTAGAGGTTATTGCTTCACCTATGGGTTTCGAGTGTTGCCCGTAAACAACTCAGTGTCATATGGGGTTAACATGATCCCAAACATACATCTATTCTGGAACACAATAAACGCATCAAACGCGAAGTAATGAGAAACAACGTTTGTAAGCCCGAAATTACGGGATGCGATGTTGGTATATTTTTGGAGCGTTTTACCGCCTTAAATCAGATTAAATTAGATCGCTAACTTCGTCTTCTTTTCCTCGTTCCTCGTAAGCTTGAGATACGTGCTTTGAAACGAGCAGGACTATTAATTCGCTACTGAAACTGTCTTCTCGAGAGAAGCTTAATCAAAGGCAGAGCAGCTGAGGCAAGTTTCTATCACAAGAAAACTTGCTAGTGAAATGCGATGAAAATCTATACTAACGGTGAAATGACGAGTTGATAAGGATGAGATGAAGTGAATGTGAGGCATGAAGGTCGGAGAGGGAATTGTTATATTAAAGCCACCAACGCACATAATACTACGATGAAGGAGCCATTGCCGTGTCATTCGGCAATACTGTTCCGGACTTGCTGACTGAGTCGCAATTAAGAGGACGAGGAAGCAGAGTATCGTCCTCGGTGTTAACTTTGGTCGAAGTTTCCGCAACATTCGAGGGTGGCTCTTTCAAAGATTTGTTGGCAGCTGCGTTGGTAAGACTGCGAGCAACAGCCTCAATGCCCTTCGGGGCCACTGGAACATTACCAGCTTCATTTTTTTCTTTAGCCAAATAAAAATTTCTCTCAGGCCCAGAACTACCAAGAGAACTACAATTAACACTACTACTTCTAGCTTTACAATGTTCTTCGGGTGTAGAACTTTTCTCCGATTTGTCTGAATGACTCGAGTTTTCTGATGTACACAATTTGTCGGTAGATAGGGGTGGTTTCAACATTTTTTGTCTTGTATCACCGTCATGATGTGTAGAAGTTAAGCCACATAAATCATTAGTTTCGACAGAATTTTTATCGGCATGGTTGGTAGAAGGTAAAAAATTTGTGTCTATCATTGGCAGCGGACATTTAAGTCCTATGGAATTACCGTCAATCACAGAATTAACAGATGTACTGGCCGAGACAGCTTGAACTTTAACATCTTCCGCGTTCTCGCTGCACTCGTTGCTGTTATTCTCTGGTTTTAACCTATCATTTGGCTCGTCAACATCCATTGGTTCATGAGGAGGAGACGCACCGTTAGCGGAAGGAGGCTCAGGCAAATGGCTGGGTTTACTGTCAGCAGTTGAGCCATTTGTAGCTAGCGGGGAGTGAACTGCATTAGTTGACGCTTCTGCAGTAGAATTTGAAATTGGCGACTTTTCGGTCCTTTCCGATTTTGCATCACTACTGCCGTCAGCTGAGTTACACGTGGAAGGAGATACAGTGGCAGTGGTAATGGTGGTCACGGTTGAAGTAGATGCTGCAGTTAAACCAGTACAAGAGGACAATGAAGCTGTAGAACAGGTTTCGGAATTTGCAGTGTCGGAAATTGAGGTAGTAACGGATGATTCTATTGAACCATTATTGGAGTGTTGGCTAGTGTAATCAGAGAGAGCAGCTACGAGAACTGGGGTTTCTTGGGGAGTGGTGTTGGGGCTGAAAAGTGACGCTGGAGGCACAACTGCAGGTGTTACTTCCATCTCTTCCGTTTCCCGAGTATCTTTTGGAGAAGGAGAATCAGGCGAATACTCACTCTTGACGTGAGCCATATTGTAGAGAACTTGGGACAATTGAGATGCAACGTAAGTATCTAAAATTTGGCTCATGACCAGAGTCAGTAACCTGTTTTCACAGGTAGCTAAAATTCTGGAATTTTCTGATACTTTGGATAGGTGCACGAGGGTGTTGGCAGCACGGCGCACCATGTCCAAGCTTGTGCCCATCAAATCAGGATTTTCCTTAAGAGCAGAAACACCTTGTGAATTAGCCACATTCATTGCAGCACTTTCCGCTTCCTCAATAAATGCAACTAATAATGACACTGAGCCATTTTGCATTGCCACTAATCTAGCTACACCTGATTCAGCAGCTGCAAAGTAATGCAGTAAATTAATAGAGAACTCGCGTAGTACCTGGTCTTCCCCTCTGCATAACATCCGTGTAAGCTGTGAACACAACCGCTCGAGGCGAGAGAATGGAGGAGTTGCAAGCACCAGATCTGTATTTTGGTCTTGCACGCATAACTTTACAAGAGCTTCCAGAGCCAGTCGCTGAGGGGAGAGTGCAGACTGAGCACTGCCACCGCCGCTAGGCAGTGGATCTTGACCGTAGGACGCGGGACATGTAGCCCAATGTAATAAACCTGACACAATGGGTCTCGTAATTTCTTCGGGATACTGAGACAAATCCAGGTGTCCAGATATGTTACACAATGTCACAAGACAGGCTTCATGCAGATGGTGGAGGTACGGCCACCACCAATGAACGTCGTTCGAGAGAGAGCTACACCAATCACTGAGGTCAGCATCATCTTCTCGGTCGTAGTGAGGAGTTGATGGAGCTCTAGATGGATGCTCATGATGAAGCAAGATCGTCCGTCCTAGGAGTGCCATCATTGCAGGATTTTTGCCCATAATCTCATCATTACCGGGAATGAAAGACAAGTTTCTCAAAACTGTTCCGAGGCATAAAACGCGACGAGCAAGCCAGTCTTTTGCTTCACTTGTGACACACAGCGATGCCTCATCTGGACTCCAAGATTCTTCTTCCACTTCCTGCACGGGTCGTTTCTTATTCACAACAAAAACGTTACTATTTTCAGCTGCGTCCTTTGTCTTCGCTTCTTCTTTTTCTTCTACTAGCTTTGGAGTCTTTGAATCAAGATTAACTTCTTGCTTACATTCCTCCGTGGACGCAATAGGTTTTTCCAAGTTTGGCTCGACATCTTTTTCTATCGGACTTGTTTTAACTGAACCCTGATCAGCAGTTTCTACAATCTGATTTTGTTGGTCTTGATCTTTTTTACAGTTAAGTGCAGTGAAAGGAAGATCAGATGGCTTGCTCTTCTCTTCAGTGGCAGAAGGAAGAGATTGATGTTCAGACACCTGACCAACTAACATGTCCAATTGAGATTTGGCATCAGACGCTTTCAGCAATTCTACTGCGTTCTCCACCGGTTCTTTCTTGATCCGTTTTAATATGGCATCAAGCTTGCTCGTTTTATTCGATCTATTAAATTTAAGAGAACTATAAATATTATTTGTAAGTTCCTTTGGACCATTGCAAGAATCTTTTGAAATTTGTGAAGAAACTTCCGGAACCTTCAGCGGAGACTTGGACAACAGATCGTCGAGTTCCCGTTTGGTTTCGTTTGTAACGGGTTCTGCGACAGATAAGGATTGAGGTATTGCAGATGGTGTAGTAGTGGTACTACTTGGAGTGGCGGTTGCTACAGTAACTGCTGGGAGGGACTCTGCAACCTTTTTGCTATTACTCGATTCTTCTTCACCTTTTACGGTCGAATCTTCGGCATCAATGTTAGGTTCAGATTTAGGAGCAATATCAGTGAATTTTCTGCAGTTTTCCGGGCATGATGCTGGGGAATCTTTTGGTTTATGAGGAACTGAATTCTTTTTCGATTTTTCAGAAAACTCTAAGTCATTACCAGGCCCAGCAATTAACCTAGTGAAGGGCAAAGGTGGCACACCGCTCTCCATGGAACAAATAATATGACTAGTGCTTTCGGTACGCCCTATGACGAGAAAATCGCTAGTAGAAACGTTGAGATCATCTTCGAGGCCATCAGCTGAGTTCATGAGCACATCTCCTCTCATGGCATCCCGAATGAACTGATCCGCTTCTCTTTTGACAATCTTCACAGGCTTGCCAGTTTTGCTGATCATCGTGTAGTCCGTTCCCGTGGTCAGAATAACTGTTTTGTCCTTGGGGTTCACCGATTCCACCGGCGTTATATCGACATCGGGACTCGGAGAACGAGGACACCGCGCGTACCACGGTAAGTCACTCTTGTCGTCAGCCTGAAATACGGAAAATCGGTCTAATTTCCTGGCGTGAATCATAATCAATGAAGGAAGCTACTAATGTGAATCCTGATTAAATTCAGCCTGTAGCCCAGCAAAAACACACCTAGAAACGGTTCAGCAATCGTTTATACTATAATATTTTAGTATTTACCGCTATAATGGCTTACCAAAAGAATTGGAATGAAGAATTAAGGCACGACTATTGCTCAAGTGGTGACAGCAATAATTCACTTGATTGACCTTGGGTATACTCGAAAACATTTTTCGGTTAGTACATCATTCTCACCTTAATTCTCTTGGCACTTCGTCTTTGGTCGCTCGAATCGTATTCAGGCTCGAGATCTTCACAAATACTGAACATGTTGATGAGCCCTCGTCGCCAGTGTTCCAATAGGCAGTCTAGCAAGCCTGGCATGTGCAATAAATGGAAATACACAACCGTTTGGTCATCAAATAAAAGGATGTTCATCACATCCAATGCCCAGGTAACTTCAGCCGCCAGCCCACATCTGAAGAGGAGAATGGACAGAGAGATTAATACAGACGATTTCGCCAATTATATTTAGTGTTCGTGTATTGCTCTTTAACAGCCACATTTCCACTCAATACAAATAAAAGTTTTAAAATTTTCCTCATTGGAAATGATGATTGATATTTTTTATTGCACGTAGTTGAGATTTAAATGTTTCAATAGTAGTTTATTCTGTTGTTTCGAATTCAAATGGTCCAAGCATGACCACCGCAACATAAGCAAATCACATTTTATCTCTTTTAGCGGAAGCTAAGGCATAGCCAACGTGCGCACCTTAAAGACATGAGTAACGTCCAGGGGTTGACGGGCGAGAGGTTGTGTCTGGTCATCCTCTTGCGCCGTGGCAGAACAGGCAGCACAGCTTCCACGCTATCTACAGGGAACAGTTGCTTTCCCATGTATGCTCCATAGCCGGAGCTCTGCAACGACGAAATCATTCAATACTGAGTTACTGACAGCATAATGAAACGAGGTTACTAGTCTAGTTTAATACTAAAAATATCATTAAATTTCTCCCTACTGAGTAATGATATGAAAGCAAGAATAGCATTAGATATCAGTGGCAGATCTCAATCCATAGTAGGCATTAAAATTCCGAGTCGCCGTAAAAATGAATGCTGAAACGAACTTGCACAGAACACTAAACATAAAAAAATCAAGGCCCCACCCTGTTTGCACAAATACTCATTAAAAAACGCTTCGCTAAATATAATAATTGGTGGATGTGTTCCAACTTGAAAAAAATGTCTTCCAGTAAGTGTTCAGCCGAAATGGATTGGTTTTGTCAGATCAATACCAAAGAACATAAACAACTGCACGAGCAAGATGAGAAGTTTATCCAGCTTTAGCAATATGCTCATGACGACACACATCCTGACGGAAGTAGTAGGACATTCAGTAGCATGCCTTGAATACGTTAGATAATAATTCACTTAACTTGGAAGAGTAGATCGTATAACACCTAGCCCTATCTGAGGTCATAGACTCACTCGTATAGAGTGAGACAGGAGGTCATCGAGTCACTGACCCTGAATGAGGCAAGAGATCAACAAGCTACTCACCTTGAATGAGGTAGGAGGAGGGACGGCAAAACTTTTGCTGCTGTTAGGACCAGAGGGGCGAGCGGGAGGCCCTGTAGTAAAGCTGCCTCCAGACCACCGACCCTGGACACAATGAAAATTTTGTGAATTCGTTTTATCGAATCTACACATGGAATATGTAATGATACTGCTTTATTATTTAGTAATATCATTTGGTTCAACTTGTGTAGCGGAACGTATCATCGCACAACAGTTGTATACTTGTATAAGCTAATTTTCATACATAAAACTCGATCACGGCATAACATGCACTGTTCAAAGTGAGCATCTGTAAACAACAGAGAGCTACACTTTGCGTGATTTTCGAACGCAACAAAACAGAATTATTGAAACGAAAAACTAAGAAAAGAATTCAGCGCTTGAGCGCATTGAATACGCACTTGGTTAGTAAAAGATTGGGTGGATGCAGGCGATGGGGGAGTGGGGTATCTGTTGGCTGGCCATGGTGCTGAAGGAGCGCCAGGAGGAGGGGGAGGACCGGACCCATCATTAGGTCTGGACCAAGGCTGTTGGGGCGGGCCAGAGGGCTGACTACCCTGACCCCCGTAGCCAGGATACTGCTGCCCACTAGCTCTCCACCCTAGCAATGCACAGTACCGTTAAGGATCTAAATTAAACAAAAAATTAGATAGGATCATCAAGGTTGAAATCCGTATTCAATATTCACAAGCTCAATGTATTTATCGAGACTTCAAACCGCCACAAATTGCAAATAATCCATGCACCAAATTCGAGCCTGCCGTAGGCTTGAGCTTACGGCAGGATTAAATGTTTCTCTGACGAGTATACAAAGAGTGTAAAAATTTTTAAATATTCACCAGGTGGCGGCTGCTGTCCAGCCGGTGATGGGCCTTGCTTCTCAAAGTCTGGGTGTCGACGCGGCCCCTGATAAGGCTGAGAGTTCGGCGGCCCAACCCCTTGACCAGGAGGACCTGGACTACCCGCACCTCCGGGTTTCTGGACGAATAAAATCATGTTAGTCTGACAAGTCCATTACTTTATTCCGAAAAACAAAGCAAGCGATGAAATGAACGAAACAGCATACTAGATAGTATGACATTAATTCTATAGATCATAAATATAAATGTGAACACGATGCGGAATAATGAAGCAAGGCATGCATGTTTTTATGAATTATCATCCGATTTTTAGAGTCAACATTACAACAGGCATTGTGATATCAACCCTCACTATTCTTTTAACCAGGGCCGCACCATTAAAGCTCGCGAAGTACATGTAGCTGCCAAATACTTGTCAGTGATTGGTGGTATAGCTTTAAAAGCTGTTAGTGATTGAAGTGAGAAAGAAAACGACCAGTCATAGATACCCTTATTGTAAATTTACTCACTAATAAGACTAAATACGAAATCTTAATTCCACATGCAATACCTCGATACTCAAGCCGATTAAACAAATGTTACTTTAGATTAATACAACTTGCATGCTAAATACAGACTGGAATACGTTTAAAAAATTCATTAGTACTTCAGTGCAGTTATTGTTTTGAATTAGTACTGACTGTCCAAATAATTAAGATGAATCTCTGTGTTATTGGGATCACCGACTCGACGGCAGTGCTCCCAGGTCCTAACACAGAAAACGTTGTCAGAAACAGTACAGAATAAGAAGCCATGTGGCAGTACTTAGTATAGTCTTCATCTAATTTCTCATTCTCTGATTATAACTCAAGGAGTAAAGTAATAAATAAGTGCCATAAGTGCGCTAATCTTTACGTCGGAGCATATATTACGGCACTAAAAATAGCTCAAATATCATAATCTTCTGATGTAATAGTGTCAGTACAGTACAGTAGGTTACAACACATTACTTGAACTGGATAGGTACATATTCAAATTCGAAAAGGATAAATCCGTCTCTCAAAACGGATATCTTGGAACAAATACGTATATGAGCCGTAAAATAAGATAACTCGGTACAAAATAGATAGGCCTGGTATGAAACGTCATTGAATTTTGGCCTATTGTTAAAAAGAGTTGACGATTGAACTACGTGCATGACTAGAATATGTTGAGCAAGCCCATGCCAAAATAGAGAAAATACTTGCAAAAATAATTGGCACAACAGTTTCAACATCAATTAAACGTAGTTCACTAACTTATCAATCACTTACAATCAAGAATACGTCAATGTCATTCCGACTTCCCGAATTTCCCAATAAAGTCCCAATGGATATGACTATTAAATAATTAGTGTATTGAAAACACGATAATGTAATAGTGACATGCTCGTTCCATTTATAGACCGGAAAACATTCGATATGGGAGGCGAGAGGGAGGCTCGATTCCATGCCAAGAACCACATACATAAGGTAAAACAAGGTAGAATCTTTCGTGGAGGAGTTCTAAACCGTTTATAGCTTAAAAAGTTCTTGACAACGCGAGAATAAAAATGGAGAGTACGGGGGAAAACGGCGTACTTGCAAATTATGATGATGGAGGTGGGGGAGATGGTGTGGGTTTTGTGGAGGGCCTAGAGGGTGATGCATGTGGTGTTGGGAGTGGAGATGCAGCATTGAAGACGAGGAGTTAGGTTGGGCTAAAGTGGCTCGTGGAGGAGTGAGTAGCTGTTTAGCGAGCTGCGAGGAGCCGTAAGAGGTAGTGGCTATGGTGGGGATTGTGGTGGTGGTGGTTGTTGTGGTAGAAGCGCAGCAGCTGGTAGCGGTGGATGCATGCAGAACGTTGCAGTTACTGTTGTTACCACTCATCTAGAGCAACACGAGTCGATTAAGTTAAAGTAGCGTTATATTAAAGGCAACGAGTGTAAAATCAAGTAAAGCGACACAAGCACTGACAGATCAACACACAAAATACGTGTTACAAATGCTACATAAGTAAAACGCATTTCCTCCTGTCCGTCACAAATGGTCACTTAGTACATGTATTGCGACAACCGCTGGTAACAACACTTTTAGATGCCATGTTCATTTCTGTGATGCATCTTTGCATATGTCATAACTCTTAACAACTGTCACGCACCACGTTCGCAATTTCAAGTGTCATTTTATATTGTCATTCGCTATACCTTACAATTTTTTGTTTACAAATACGCACACGAGTTACTATTTGAAGAGATGGTAGTCAGCAATCGTCTATTTTGACTGATTTTTGTAAAGATAATATGTCATAGAATTCAAATAACAGCTCTATAAACGTCCATTAGCTTAGAAAATCAATCCAACTGGCAAACTTTGTCGGAAACTATAAACATTTAAACGAATTGAACGCGTTTATACAGAATACACTAATATGCGGACAAGTTTTGTCAAGAATTATATTTATCGAGTCGTGTCCTAGTCCAAAACTACTTGAAAACACGGGCGGCATGTCAACAGTGGTAAGGCATAACACCCCTCAGAATGAACGGTCAAGGTTGTTATCCAACAATCAAATATCATGCCCAAGTCCAATTAAAATCATACAATACTCTCTACTATATAGGTTACTTCACTCTTGATACAAAGCAAGCAGCAAAATGTAATGTACGAGTCTAGTTCCAAGACTATAGTTATAAGCAAATGTCCGGTGTCAATCTGGCGTCTCATCATATTCTTCATTATAATGTTATTGAATATGATGATACGCCAGATTAACACCGGACACAAACGCGTTAACACAAGCAGCAGGCATCATGAGAGTTAAGCAATAGTTACTGCTACGCGCCTATTAACAAGAAGCATTAATGATAAATAAATGGTAATCGTGAACGCACAACATATCAAAAGCAAGTTATACCCTGCGCAAACAGGGGAGAAATAGAAGTCAACAGATCATGAAGGACAAAATCTCTCAAAAAGTGGTATGTAAAAAAAAATTTCATACACAAAATATCTATTTTTTCAAACTGCAACACTATATCAACAGTAACTTCAAACTTGTTCCATGAACGTTAGTGAATTTTATTGTAGGTTAATTGAAGCCCTTCAATTTAAACCTCTGTTATCCAAATTTCTGAGAGCACGATTGTTATAAAACCGCTTTTACCACGTTTACTTAATACAACACCTCGCTCCATACGCTAAAACTTTTAGAAAAAAAGTTCATTATGAAACACGCACAAACGAGTATGTACATGTCTTTCCTCTTAAAAATGCCACCTCACGCACAAGAAAATGAACGTCTATGAACAAGTTTGTCAAGCACTTTCGATTACTCACAGGATACTGCTCCTGCTGGTACCCAGGCTGCCCGGGAGGCGGGTAGCCAGCCCCTCTCTGGTACCCAGGCTGTTGGTAACCCTGGTAACTGCCTTGGTGGTTCGGAGGGCCAGGGGGAGGCGGTCCTCCTTGGTAACCGCGGCTGTCCGGCGGGTAACCAGAAGATGGAGGGTAACCGCCTTGACTATAACTGCTGTGCATGCCTTGGTATCCGGGATACTGGTTGCCCTGGTAACCCTGGTAACCTGGAAGTGATAAATGGTCGTCAAATACCAAAAAAACAACATAAATGAAAACTGAAATGCAGGTAAGGTTGTTTTCACTTTCAGTGCACTTATTTAAAAGAATAAACTATGCAAAACTGTTAACTGAAAAATGAAATTGTTTTGTAGCGTTCAAATTGCAGCAATTGGAATGTACTCCGGTACAAACTCAACCAAAATTTGAATCTTTCATACAAAAAGCTTGAGCTAATTCTTTTCATGACGTTATACACATACGAGCCCAATGACAAATGTAATGCCATTAAAAAATTAATCAACTAAAACCATATTTTAGATGCCTTTTCATGGTATACCGTCAAGAAACAGGTTTCAGTAACACAATTCAAAAAATGATCATATCCTTTTCAGTGTAAGAGAATCGGCCACATGAGTGAAGATGTAAAATACCTACATAGCCAAATGCACTCTATAACAATCAAGTAAGAACTGGGCAACATCAAAGTAAATAAATTATTCAAAACTCATAATAATAGTAGTAACTCCAGTCTCGAGATGCAGAACTAAAAATATTTCCTACAAGTGAGCGTCTAGCCGTACTATCAATCAGGATCAAGTGCACCACACACGAAAATTTCAGACCCTTGCAAATGTGTCAATAAATACTGGTACGCTAGCACTAATAGATCATGTGACATTATGTGCATACCAAATCCTGCAAAGAAAACACGAATAAATCAAACGAGAGATCCAATATATCAGTAAATGTATCAAATATCTCAGAATCTTAACAAAATCAAGACGAAATAACACATGTGCACCAAAAAATCGAGGAGATCGCTCCGACAATCAAGCGACTGGGAGTCAACAAAACGAAAGAAGGAATCACACGGGTGCACTGCACAGCAAAAGCGACGGCTGGCAACCGAAATGTGTGCCTTACCAAGCAAAGACCTAACAGGCCTAACACCAAGGCCTCTGACCCAAGGACCAGGCTCGTCATCAAATGGGTTAGACACGCTAACGGGTTCTGCGGAGCAGCCAACAAAACCTGACACCTGGCCTGCCCAACCGCAAGCATTAAAACGTATTTAACAAATTCCCTTTAGAAAACACGCTCTCTGTAGAATTTTCAGCAATAAATTGTACTTGAGATCTCGAACGCAAGATCAAATGTAGCCAAAACTTGCGAGCTTATTCAGAATTCGTGACTTAATACTGAATCAATTTGCACTACAGTATCAGATGCAGGATGGAAATGGGCAAGAAATGCAAATGAAAAGGATGGATAAGGTAGACTTTGCTAGATAAAAATCTACCAAGGAAAGTAAAGAATTATTATTAGCAATTCTACCAATGCATGATATGATTAGTTTCAGATAAGACCAACTTCAAATCCGCTATCGTCCCCGGCCATGGATACACAAAATGGTCTTGATACATTCAAGTAGTAATAGAAGGTTTACTAGCGCTTCAGATAGATATCTCTTTCGAGGGAGTAAAATATATATCTACTTTAAATCTATTCGATTTCTATAAACTTAGAAAGTAATGCACTCTAGCAATGACTATGTTGCTCACCAGGCTGTGACTGACTGGGAGGTCGCTGCTGCATGTGACCGGGGTAGTCAGAGGAAGGAGGGTAGGGTGTGTAGGGAGGCATGCCGGGATGAGGAGGGCCATTGGAATAGCCGTCCATGCTGCTATTGTTGCTGCCTGCAGGTGGGAACGAATCCTGAGAGTTGGAAGAGCCTGAAAAAACATTTTTGTTTAGTTTTCAGCCGAAACAGAACAACGAAGTTAGGCTATTATATAAAATCTCAACTTCTATCGTGTGAAAAACTAACTTCCTGCGTAATGACTGTAATTCATTTTTTAACGAAATCAAATGAAAGCAGTACTCGTATGAAACGGTGATCAGTAATAAGACTACATTTTAGAATTACTGGGTGATAAATGATTTAATTTCACTACAATCGCTATGCAGAGCGCACGATGTCTGCGTTATACAGTACAAGGCATCACCACAAGGCCGTACTGGCACACCATTAAAGAATTAAGAAGCAGCCCTCACCAGGTGAAGGTACAGAGACGGGTTTTGAGGACTTCTTCTTAGCCGAAGCCTCGATTTGACTAATAATAGGCTGGGGGTCGATGCCACCTCTATCGAAGCGACACTCATAAGAGAGGATGTGCTTCATGTAATGCTTGCGTAGAGTGTACGAGCCGCTCGATGATGCTCCGATGCCCATCACGGCCGCCACGTCCTTCCACTGCTTGTTTTTGGTTACCTGCAAACGAATAACCCATAAACTCTAAGCCTAAGAGCTAGAAGCTAACAAGGTCATACTGAGCAAATCTAATTCATCATTGTAAAATCACTAAATCTTTAAAGGTTACATAACTAAATAGTTGATAGAAATAAGGTGTTGGATTCATGTCAATGTCATTTATTTATGAGTAAGAAAGTGCTATGGAAATTTTCCAGAACCTAACTAGTGTTTCCAACGTTTAAACGCGCGAGATATAACAAAGCCTGTAAAAGATGGACACCATAAAGACTAATACGTGTATTTTAACATTCCTTTCTTGCAGGAAGTCTGTTTTCAGCAATGTTATTTTTCTGTGACCTCTACATTGAAGGGATAATGATGTCCCTTTCTGATGTCATTTCTTTTTAATCGGCTGTTAATGCATGTTATCAAGAAGCCTTGGGCCGTTATTCATGCAACACACCCCCATGAGGGATGGTGATATTCTAGTCTGAACTACAAATAAACGTGGTGGGCATTCTAGTCTGCTGCGGTCGTGGTATTCTAATCTCTACAAATAAATAAATACTCGACGTTGCACAAACCTCCATGAAGCCACCGCGCTCCTTGACGTGGAGATAGAGAGCGTAGAGATCAAGGGGGTTTTTACTGATGGTAGGGCAAGCAGCAATGGGCGTCTTGTTCTCCTCCATAAACTGCAGGAGCTTATCCAGCCACTGGCGTCTTTCGGGGCTGTCGCTCATCTCGTACAGGCGAGCGATGTTGTCAGCCTGAAATATAGAAAACGTGTTTTATTGATAATTTTGCCTGTTGGTCAATTTGAGCTTAAAACGTTACACAATATGAATTTCATGACAAGCTCTAACAGCATAGAAAAGTCAATAAAAAATTAGGATTGAGTCGTCAAAGATTATCATGGATCTAAATTTATCAGAAACAATGAAGCTCCCCAATTTACTTGAAGAATATCTAAGTGTATTTGCCTCGTTGGTGGAACGAGATATCTAGAATCGTTTTATACTTTACTTTTGGCAAAATATACTTAATAATAAAATACCTGATCTCAGGTCAACATGCTGATGTATAATGAGAATTACAGTTAAGGATGTTCTCGAAGAGGTAACTAAATTAAAAACAAATTTGGGAAAAGAAAAAAATCGTTAGGCTGCATTTGAAATAAGCCTCAACACGTTTTGGGTCCCAGGAGGTACCTTCAGCAATTTAGACGGTTCTCTTCATCTCTAATTTCTACAAATATATTGACATCCGACATCCAACACATGCAGGAGTACCGGTACATTTAAAACAAAAAATACTGAGCTCCAATGCAGGAGTTTCGGGCCATAAGCTAAACCAAGGCGGGAGAAGCACGCTGCAACGACCGATATGTGAATTGGTGAATGGTGATGCATCTTGAATGCAAAATACATGCAAGGAAACTATAGCAAATGGGTTTGAAATTCAAAATACGTGCAAGAAGGCCATAAAAAAAGTTAGTTACATGCAAGGAAGGGGAATGGAATGCGTGATTTAAAAAAAAGTATGTATGCAGAAAACTTCCAATAAGGATAGAAAAAATGCTCGGTGATTAATGCAATGCAAGAAGCTAGGTGAATACGTACGGAAAATTCACCTAAAGATTGGAATTTTGTTACTTTTAAGACTCGGAGAAATGCGGAAATCAGAGGTTACCAAGTGGAAATTCGTAGAATTGGCAAACAATTACAAATATTTATACATAACTATGGAAACTAAGATAAACAAGATCAACATAAGAATTGAAAATATCAACAGAAGAATTGATAAGCCTCGATACTACTAACCTGTCCAGGAGTGCTCATTTACCAACCTCAGTATAATGTAAGGAGAGCAAGTCTTCTTTTGACCAACAAATTACAGGCCGGAGAATAAATTAATGAGAATAAGCTTGATTTAAAGAAAACTGGGTACAGAAATCGTCATAAAGAACAGAAACTTTAGCTATACGCGAAAATTATTCGGAATAACGGAATACTGATTTTTAAATTTTAAACGTTTATAGTTAAAGATTAGGCAGGTCTGCTTCGTTATTGGACTACTTTGTCTAGGAAGGGTCACAACTAACGAGACAGGCGAAAGCGAGGGCGGGAGGTTAGCTGAATAAAAGGAAACTGACTGTAAGAGATAGTAACCTTTGAGGGACGGTAGATATCGGGAGCTGCGGGTGTGCTGCTGTTTCCGTACGCCTGTAGAATAAAATATCATGTAAACACATGTCAAAATACAGCTGAATACCTCGTGGAAAACAGAGCCGACGTTACACGTGTCAGTAAACATTCAAGTGCTTCGTTACGGTCAAATGTGAGGTGAAAAAAATATAACACTGCAACACACTCGTTGTGCTAGAATAAAATAATTAATACTTGTGATGTTTTTGTCAAGCATCCGGCTGTGCACCCGGTTTAACTAACGCAAAATTAAACTCTTTCAGTGGCACAACAAGGAACATAACGCGGTCGTGAATGCTGCGCGTTAGAATTAAAACGTCACACGACGCAAAAATATTGTCGATATTCCCATCGACTAACTGGTCAGTTTTAAATTACTAATCCAATTTTGAAAGCCACCTGAATTGAAATGCTAGGTGGATTTTAAAAGCTATTCGTGGAATGTTGCTATTTGATTTCAGCAGATATATTAATCACTCACAAACGATACATAATAGAGAAAGACTCTAGAGAGTGCATTACTCAAGGAGCTGATGACTTTATTGCCAAAAAATTATATGTTCCCAGTCTCAGACCTCAAGCGTGAATTAAATAGGTAAAAAAAACTTGCACACTTGAAAATAAAATATAGTGATTGGAATTGCGCCGATCTCCAAAACGAACTAACCGAACTAGGGGCCTGCTGGGTACTAGGACTTCTAGGCCAGCCCGGGGAGTTGACATTTCCTTCATATTCCCCTTGTTCGGGAGGCTGACTGCCTGGAGACGGCGCTGAGCTCTGGTGATGTGAGTGTGGGTTGAGGGGGTGAGATGAGTTCATGGGAGGACCGCCGTGTGATGATGACCCATACGTCATGGAGGACTGAACGCCCATGGGTCCACCAGGACCCATCATGTTGCCGCCACTCATCATGGAGGTCATGTTGCTCGGCACGGGGCCGTCTTTGTGTGGCTTTGGTGTTAAAGATCGGTCATCGCCTGACGCTGTGGAGAGACCAAATTAAATTAACAAGATGAAGAAATGCAACGTTTTTTGTCGAGATAAAAAATACAAAATTGCTAGAACATTGTTGGTTAACGCTTTACTCGGTCTTATGATACAGAGCAAGAACCTAAAACCAGAGGACTTCAGCAGATATAAAATAAAAAAATAGATGAAACTAACTATAAAACTAAAGATTACTACATCGTTGGAATGACACAACAAAACTGTTCAACAGCTGACAACAAATAAAACTCGTTTCCTACACTTGTTGCAAGGAAACGAACGTAGACTCTTCTAAATTGACAGTTCAATGACGTGATTATGAGTAAGAAAAATAACGAGTACCGACTGAGCAATAAGCATAGCTCACCAGCAGAAGTGTTGCTGAGCGTAGACTGCTGGGAAGCGTCGTCCAGTAAAGGGTTGCCGTCAGGGCCAATAGGCGGAGGTGGCTGCTGCTGTGACAGCGCGTTATTGCCAGAAGATAAATTAGAAGGCGCGGAGGCATTGGAAAGTTCCATCTCATTAGGGCCTGGAGTGGATGTGGGGGGAGGCATGGCGTTGTTCTGGCCCCCGTGAGGAGCAGGAGCCCCGACCATCCCCACACCGGGGCTGCTCTCCCTCACACCGCCCCCTAATCCCGGGGGAAGACCTGGGCCATTAGGATACATTTGTGGCGGTCCACCGGCGGATGGCGGAGCCCCTGGAGGAGGTCCATAAACACCCATTTTTTGGTGCAGATGTTGCTTGAGGTAGTGAGGGGGAGTGTGGGGACGTGGAAGCCCAGCAGCTCCCCCACCAGGCTGTACTGGCTGACCAGGGTGCTGGTTCTTGCCACCCAAACCAGGGGAGCCAAGGACACTGGATGGGGGAGGTCCTTGTCCCATGCTTGGTCCCCAGGCCTGCTGGGCGCTGTAGTGGGGGTAGGGGCTGTACTGTGAGGGAGGGCCGTGGTTGCTGTGTGGAGGGCGCGGCGGGTACTGGTGGGAGGGAGGTATCGAGGAGGGTGGACCTTGAGGAGGCTGGGGACCGCCTGGAGGGAAGTTTTGAGGGAAAGGATGCATCGATGAGCCTTGAGGTCTCGCCCCTGGATATTGAAGTCCACCAGGTTGCTGGTACGCCCCTGGTTGAGGGTACGGTAGTCCAGCGGGGGACATATGGCCACCCATTTTTGAAGGGTAACCATGGGGAGGAGGGGCGTGAGGAGGGCCATTGGGAGGATAAGGAGGGGCGTGCATGGTGGGACTGTTACGAGCGTCGCCTACAGAAGAGGAATGACCAGGAGCAGAAGTAAGACCGCCGCTGCTGCTGCTGCACGAAGGCCCTCCTGTAAACCATGAATTGCTGTGAATCCTTCATTTGCAATAACTTCTTCCTCATGTCTACAATTCAAATTAATACCACTTTCTCTGCCTTATTTTATAAAATAACTGAACATCAGCAAAGCCTTCTTGACATCCATCATTGCACTTAGGTAACAAGCCTCATTGATTGATAATATGTTTTAAAGTGGTTTCTAATTTACTCAAGTCAAGACAGACTAGGGCTAGTAAAGTTCCCGCAAACAAGAAGCAAATAACGCAGTAGAACTGTCGTCAAGTTTTCTGGTAAAATTCTTTACATCACTTATTAAGAGCACCTAAGTTATGAAAACACTTTAAACTAAATTTACATTTATAGCATGGCACTCAAAACATTCCATACACAAAAACAATTCAAATTAAGTAACTATGCAATTATTAACTGCTACAACTCCCTCAGCTGCCATTATAATTCTCTTCATTCTTATTAATTATTACAAAAGGAATATTATGGTAAGAAAATAGCTCATTCTACAAGGATTTACCCCGTGCACATAATCTGAGCGTACACTGAGATGGCCAAGAAGGGCGCGAGTGCAGCACTCACCAACAGCGGGTGTGATGTGAGGAGAGTGATGAGGATGCAGAAGATGGTGATGTGATGAGGGAGCTGACTGTGGTGGTGGTGCAGGGGACACCCTCATGCCCGGTGGGGGAGGGTGAGGAGAAGAGGAAGATGCCGACACAGGAGTGGAGGCAGTGGAAGAAGATGGCACTAGAGAAGAGGCAGCGGACGATGGAGGAGGGGAAGCTGAATAATGTGGTGAAGCACCCCCGCTGCCGCCGCCGCTGCTGCTGCTCTGCTGTAGGTGATGCTGCTGCTGCTGCTGCTGTTGGGGATGAAGGTACCCAGGGTGGTACTGGGGAGGTCCTTGTGATGAGGGTGCTCCGTGTGGGGGGTAATAGTGTGGCTGCTGTGGGTAGTGGTGGACGGGAGTAGAAGGTGGCGATGAGCTTCCTCCCTTTGCAGACACAGTGGTTTTGGTAGAGGAGCCTGGGGTGGTGCTGGTAGTGTAGTGGTGGAGGTAAGGATGGTGGTGAAGAAGATGTGGTTGGTGATGATGGTATGGGGACGCAGCTGATCTTCTACTGCCGTCATGGCCAACTCCAGCCACCTCCTGGAAAACAAAGTCATGTTAATGGACAGATAATCGGATCGTTCTTTCTCTGCTAGCAACCGAGAATATTCTGTAAATAGTACCGTAAGTCAACGACAATTACAAAGCCATTGAACTAGCCAATAATATCGCAGAATGGCTAGAAATAAACAACCTAGCTTAGTTGACATGATGCTGAGAATTAATTTTAAGGTGAATAGTGAGAGCAAAGAAGTAAACAGTGAAAAAAATAATTGGATGTGAATGACAAATAAATTTCCTCAAATAGTAAAATGAATATGAATTATTGCCTACATAAAATTCACTTTCAAATAGATAAACTCTAAAGAAATTTTGTGTTCAATGCTGCTTGTAGCAAATTTTAGAAGATATGAAACTGTCAGCCAACAAAAGTATCGTAGCCGAAAAAAAACAATACGACCGTCAGACATTTTTAACCTCTCTAATTTTCATTGGTAACCAATTAATGGATCTTATTAATATAATATCGCGAATATTTTCAGTTCATTAGCCAAAACAAGAACCTCAATTTCTAACAAAAAAAAGTAAGTCATAAAGCATCGCGCACAGTTGTCGTACACCTGAAATATCACGAGGCGCCAGCAAACTATCAATGCTAAAGCTACCAGTCCGAAACGGAACTAAAGTTAGCGGCAGTCGCGCGCAAACTTTCAAAGTTTTGTTGAACTTTGTTCACGTCTCAAGCAAACTCGAGTAAGCAGAGGCACATTTGCCAAGCAGTGCGGGAATTTCGCGGCAAATTGGAATCAAGCTTGACCTCTAAAAACGGGGAAGAGGAAGGGAAGCTCGATTATATATATACAGTAAACACGTGCAGCAGCCACGATGCATGATAATACAGAGCTGTGCATGGTCTGGGTAATCTGAGAGTATTTAACAATGAGTAGGTACAATTTAACATGCAACACATCGTTACTATAAATTGGAATAACAAACTGTCTCAATAGACTGAACAGCGTTAGCGAAGTGCTGTCGTAATAATCGTGATTGGCTATAATCATCCTAAACTTGAATGTCATAGAAAAATATCCAATAGGTAGCGAAAAAGTTTCAACTGACAGTAGAAAGTCCAAAACAACAAAATTATAAATACCGGTACATGTTTGAAGTGAAATGATTGCGCAAGAATTTCGCAACAAAGGATAATGCGTGTAGTTGGACTATCTTTTTGTATACGAATTGGCGCTACTTGAACACTCGGTGCACAAGAAAAAATGACATTGTTTACAGAATCAGTTGCGGCAGCAACGGCACAGATGAAATGTGAACCAATATAGGAGAGAAGTCCCCGTAGACTTTTTGCCAGCACTAATTGACACCACGCATAAATTTAACTGACATGAACGTTCAGATGAATATGTCTTTCCTGTGTGAGCTGCTGAATAAAGAATGTACAAGAATACGTTGAACATAACATTTCATTATTTCGTGTAGAGAGAAATACATACTGTTGCCCTTCGGTCGTAAAAAATGTGAACGCGAAATGTACATAAACGAAAATATAAAATGAGAACTCCATTAATATAAAAATTCGACAGTATTTCGAGTTAATCTGTGTTAGAATGGGCCGCTCACAAGAATTTGTCAAAGCCAAAATCTTTCTTATCTAAAATGTTCGTCGTATATTTAGAGCAACAAAATACATAGAAACAATAAGCGAAATGTATCAATAGTCAAATTATACTGAATAAATGACGTCAAAAATCGAATGATCAAAGTCCGATCTAACCACGTAAATATTTACGTGCAATTTAATGGCAAGTATACACTCAAAAATGTTGCCATTAATTTCGAAACGTGAAAAATGTGCATTTTCTACTATAACGAAAAAAAAATCCTATTAGTGCATTTCGAACAAAAGTAATACCAAAGAAGATAGCTAACTATCTGGAAAAAAAAAGCTAGCAAGAACGCAAGTTATTCCATCGTCTCGCGCCAAGCGCTCACTAACGAGTAGCGACGCATGTGATTTGTGACACGACGATAAAAAAGTTAATAATTGAGCATACATCCCAAACAAACGTTCGAAGCTCGCCATGCGGCCGGCAAAAAAAAGCGCCAACAAAGAGCTATGAGACCTCCAGTGCCGATACCAAGATACGAGCGACTCCACTCGCACGCAGCCCTCCAACTTTACTCATGGCTCTGAACAAATGAGTACACTTATTTCTGACGTTTTTATTTCAAAAGAAGCAATGTAACTTTCTTTGAGGCTTTTCATGCGTGAGAAGTTGGCTACGGTACTGAGAAAGCTATTTCAATACTAATTAGTTTTGGCTAATGCAACCTGACTTGTAGTCAGGCAATTAATAACCAAATGACTTTACGACTTTACGTATATTAGCGTTTACACTTTATAGAGTGGTGTACTTACCACGTGTGTGATAAATTCATGTATTTTAAAAATACAAAAAGCCTAATTACGCGATGTTTATATATATATACGAATAATACATGGAAATAGTTTCAGAGGTTCTCTTACATTGTGGAACCCAACAGAAATTTTCTACGCTTATTTCCAAGCATTAAATGTAAAAAAAATATATTTTTTATATTACATATTTTTTAGGGCGGTATTTCTCAACAAGGTCAGTACCGAGGTCAGTTGAAGACAAACTATTGTTCAGAAGTTTAGACAAATAACAAAGACCGTCATGAGATAGGACAACCCAAGTTAAAGTTTAAACATTGATAAAACATTGCCTCAGACAAGAAAAAGCTGGCGTTTCGATCATTTCGAGCTTGACGATCATTAATAGACGTAAGAAGTTATACTTAATTCCACGAGGTCTATATGGATAGGTACGTCTATGTTAAGCTGTAGGCGTCTAATACACGAAACGCAATACATTATTGCCGCGGAATGTGAAGAAGCAGCAGCTGGTCTGCCCTCTTCCATCATTCAGGTCAACTGCAGCACCTGAATTACGGCGTCTTTGGCAAAAAAACTCCATCTTCAGACGCCTTGGCATAAAAATGACATGTAAGAGACATTCTTTTGCGCTCCTTTCGCTCTCGAGCTCGCCAGACGTGGCAGAAAATAAAGAAAAGACTGATAAAGCTGACACGAGCAAGGGAGGGAATGTAAGGGGAAGGGATGAGCGTTCGCTCCATATTGATCAAAGCGCACCGGAGTCCTCGTTGCCCCTCTGCCTGCACACACCCTCACTCTCAACCATCATCCCCTCCCCAGTATTTTTTCCCTCTCAATAGTAAAGAGAGTAAAGTGATTGCTCAACACCAGATAAAAGCAAGATCAAGGCGCGAAAGATCAATGACTTAACGCATTCACGATGCCGCCACTTCAAGAGATTAGATGCGCGATCAGATTTACTACTTTTTTTTAAATAAACAGATTCATTGTTACGTAGCGTAGGCATCGTACAAATTAACGCTACAATTCTCAAGAGAAGCCTTGCTGATAGCGAGATAACACTTATTCCGGTGATGATTACGATTTTTTTTAAACAAAGTTCAATTTATTCGATTTCAGCGCCGATTTAAATCTTCATTTTAGAATCATTATCAGTCTCGCAACTCTATTTTTAAATTAAACGTTACACATCATTTATATTGGACCTTGATTAACTTGTGGGACTAGTTGCTGCGAATGAAAGCGATTTTACAGAATAATTGCCAACCATCCTTAGGGCAAAGCTATACAGCAGACACACTAAACGCGTAGCCACAAACGTTATGACAGGAAGCCCGCCACTCGCGCCCTGCAAGTTGCGCTGCAGGCAACACCGACAACTGAGATAGTGTCATGAGTCACGCGCGTTGTGACGTCATCATAAACGCTGCACTCAAGAGAGCAACTGCAATCACCATACTATACATGTTCAAAGTAGAGGCGGATTTTACACTTGAAACTAGCACCGGTATTATTCAGGAAATTAAAAAACTGATGTACATCTAGACTTGAGGGTTCATTTAAGTTAAGCGCAGGTGGATTTGAGGTTTACGTAGCGAAATGCGTCGGGAGAACTGACTCGGATTCGATAACCTCGGGAACTTTGGATTTCTGGAATTAATATCGGGGCCCGTCAAAAGTCCGTATACTTGCAGTTGATACAGATAACGAGAGTGTTTCTTATTTGAACGGTCTTATGCAAAGTACTCCAAAAAATCAACTGATAAAAACCACTCTCATAGACTGGTTACGCGTCAAAAACATTCATAATTTTTTCATTAATAGCATAAGAGCTTCTCATGCAAAAAAAATAAAACATGAACAAAATCACGTTTCATGAGCTGCATCAATGTTCGCGCAACTAGGAACACAAAGAGAAAGTGTTTCACAGGCTGCATTACTCTCATGTTTTGGTGTATGCTCAGAGTAGTAGGAAGGCTGGCTTATCTCGGCCCTGATTAGACAACAGCTGAAGCCTGCCACAAACAGGCCACAATTACGGCGGCAGGGAACAGGTGCCTCGACTACAGCGACGCAATGAGGGGGACGCAAAAACATTTTTCCCGGTGAGCTGCGCGGCAACTTTCCCAAGTGAGATACAGAACGTTTTCCGTATCGTGGTTTTAGCGAAAAAATGATATGCTATGTAGTCAGAATAAAATCTACTCGAGATTTAGAAAGTACATCAAATCATAGAATAAGATGTTTTAATTTAATCCTAATTCATTCGACAACTACTACATCCATTCCTAAAGATGATATCTCGGCCCCGTCTTTCAAACATATACGCAGCTACGGTACTTGATAATTGCCTACGCTCACGTGTACGGAAATTCTATTATTCCTGCCGATATAAAGACACGATACTTGCCGCTCAGGTAACACGCGCAGAGACGCTAAAAGTTATCTATTATTCCGATTGCCCATCACTGTACCGACATCTGAACTGGCATTATAGATGATTAAAGCCAATAACTTTGAAAAATAAAGAATTTTATACAGTTCAGCCCATTTCAGTAAGTTTTTATTATGTAAAATGTCTATAACCACATGTAAATATAATTTTATTCCAAATAATGCACATTTGCAAACGTCAAACAAAGCAACATGACATTCGAGCGACAACTCCTAAAATATCTAACGTAAGGAAAGAGACAAATTTTTTCCCTTTTTTTATACATACAAACACCATGAAAATTCATCTGATCATCGTGATCGTATGATCAGCATCATAGTACAACGATAACTATAATGTTAGAGAAAAAACAAATAAAAAAAAGAACGTTTTCAAACGTTGGTACACCATCATAGAGATTACTGGAATGAAATCAGTAATAAAAATTAACTGCACAACGTGTAATAATAATATATAAACGCATTTAAAACTTGTGGCTTCCAGTGCATGGCAAAAGATATTGGCAGAACACGAACTGCACCCCAGATGCTGCAATTGAACCGTCAATTAATAAATACAGCTCTTCTGGTTTATTCAACTTTCCAGCGATGCAATGTTAGTTCAATAGCAAGTTTATCAAGAGTAACGAAACAAAATATTGCACGAAACAAAATATTGCACGAACGAACACTTTGTCACAGTTTCCATTCATTCAACCAATTGGAAAATGAAAACATTTTTTTTATACTTCAATAAGAATTTAAAACGTATCTCAACAAAAACGATCATTGTACCATTTCCAAGAAATTGTCAGGAAAAATTACGTTCTGTTGATCAAGCCCTCTTGTTTCAACACTCAGGAATCTATTATAAATGACAGATTAAATACCAGGCAAAGTCAAGGGACAAAATGGCAATTTTATAAGCTTAATACCGCAGTCATCAGCCTAAATTCTTATCAATTGCAAATTTGATTATTTTAAAATCAAGGGCTGCATACAATGAATGACAAGATTATATCACAGAAGATACATACCAAGTTCATAAATGAATTTTATGAACTGAACAAAACATAACATGCTTTTGCACAGCTGTGACATGCAAGCATCCTCAGGTTCAGATGGCCAGTGTTCAATGGAGCTTCACAAACACAAGTTCAGCAGCACAAGTAAACATGGTCATCAAGAAGTTCAATTTTTTTAACTTCTCAAGAGAATTTAAATGCAATACCACATCACCAGGAAATATAATCTATAATTTCATAGAAAAAAATTGAGATTTCCAGCACAAAAAAAGGCAAAACTCTGAAAAAATTGTCCACTAGTTTCTGACAAACTTGAAAATTTCTAATAAAAACTACGCTCATGACTAAGATATTGAAGTGTTGGGATCAAAGAAATAACAATGACAGTCAAGATATGAGTCTAGTTCCAATCAGAAAACAAAATAGATAATCAAAGCAAATTCTTTTCTCTAACATTCATGTAAGCTCAACACAATGCCAGAAGACAGCTTGGTACTTCATTAATCACACAGCAAATTACCCAGATAAATACAGCTGCCTGACAATTGCCAAACCTTACTTATGTAAAAACAAAACATGATAAAAAGCCCTGAAATATTGAGGTAGCACAACATTAAAAACTGAATGGAAGACAATCTACATGAAAAAAGAACTGAAGCACTTCAATTCCAATCTTAATTTTTCTGCCTATTTAACACTCAATCAAATCACCACAATGCTTTTCAAAGTTTTCCCAATAACCCTGATGACTTCGATTCATAGCTATTCAAGTCACATCAGTTGATAATACCTGTGTTGCTTTCAAATCTAACATAATAAATGCATACATTCATTTCGGGCTAATAATCCGCATGTGTTGGTTGCAGGAACTTCTAAAATTCAAAAAGTGCAACCTAAAGCAATATTTAGATCTCTTATCAAAAATAAAAAAACCCAAAGTAAGAAAAGTGTCAGGGTCCTTTTACAAATGACATAAGTCTTAGAAAGAAGTGCCAGAAAAACTAAGGTACCATAGCTAAAAAGTAACAATATTTAAACAATGCCAAAATTCAACTCAACTAGTCACTAATAAGAGTTTTTTGACTTATTTCTCTATTGCAAAATGATTTTGCATAATTTGGAAACCAACTGTAGCACCATAACTTCAATCTAAGTCAAAAATAAATGTTATCTTTTGTTTAAAATATACATGTGTTTCAGGCAACTTTATCATGGCTTCATTTAGCAAAATCTGTCAAATCCATATATAACAACATTATTACCTAACAAGAAGTGGAATTACTAATATAAGAACTTAAGAATGAACAGTACCTTTGATTTCAAAATTAATGCAATTTCAGATAATGTAATGCATGCTCACAATCTCAAAGACAAGAGAATGCATTCTATCAAAAACTTTCATATGTTTTTTTCAACAAGTCAAGTGTTTATTGCTAGCCCTGGTAGATCAATGTGTAGGCTTCAAAAAGAGTTTTTAATGTATTGGTGATGTGTTGAATACAGTTAATTTTAGATAATAAAAATCAAATCCCCAAGAAAATGCTGTGCTGTAAAATAAATGCTGTACAGTATTTTCCCTCAACATTGACAGAAATAGACAGCATATTTTTAAAGCTTCATTAAAATGTAAGCTATACTGGAATATGAGCTACATATGCTCAAAGAATTTTAGGTTTGGGTAGTAGTCAGTTGTTTCAACTAGTCAAAAATATTATATTCTAAGAATCTTGCATTCGTGTTGGTGATTCATTTTGGCCTGGGACTGCTACATCCAAAACAAATACTAAGGATTTAAATGTATAGGTTCCTTGTTTAAATATATATATATATATATATAATATATATAAAATTTAAGGAAATGCAAATTTGAACTTTAATATATGTAATTATGTATATACAGAATTTAGAAATGGGGCAGTCTAAATGTATCAGTAATTGTTCACACTTTTTTTAAATAGTACAAAAATTTTCAGTTTCTCAGTATTTCTACAGCCATGTTCAAAAAGTAATAATAATTATAACTCAAATAAAGTAGCTGCTGCAGCCACCTCTAGACCAAGTGAAAGAAATTAAAAGTTTTATCAACAACATCAGCCATGCACCCAAGATTTTTTTTAGCCAAAAAGTTCCATGTTCAGTGTTCACTTTACGTGATACCAAATACTGTGATACCAAAAACTCAATGGCCTACAGGAGGACTTTGGAATTGAACCTGTACAAAAAAGTCAATGGGTTTCATTTCTTCATTACTAGTCACATTTAAATGTTGCACATTACATTTCAAATATTTCCTAAGCATACCATAATATCCAGTTTTTTTTTTCATTTTATATAAGTCATGAATTTGTATTAAATTCTTCAACAGGCCATTCCGGCATAATTTCTCCCAATTTTTGTTGGATATTGCGATCTCTATTAAGAAAACTTCATATGTTGAAAAGACCATGCCAATTTTAATCCATTTCGTTTGCATTAAACACGGTGCGAATAACTATGTAATTGTGTGATTTAAGGAGGATTTGGTATCACTGCATACCCTTCCCATTTGATGGGCATCACCCAAAGCGTCGGCACATTCCCAAGCCGACAAACGTACGCAACGTCGAAGTGCGAGCCCCACAGCTCCCCGATTAACAAGGAGAGCGAAACGAATCGATTCCTTTACATTCCAATCATGAAAGTTCACCTAAAACAATTATAATGCTAAAAAATAATAATCCTAACAAGCAAAATTAAAATGTATTTCGTAAAAATCCCCTACAATTCGGATGCGAGTATTGCGATAAAAACGAATTCCCTAGAAAGTTGAAGTATGAAGCCGAACAGGCAGAAGGCAACAAAGCCCTAGACCACCTCACACTCACACCGCGTTGCCAAATGCAGCCAGTTGCCACGTCGTCATCGACTATCACTATGCAAAGTTTTAATTAACAAACGTTCACCGATCACGGCAAGATAAACGTTCAGTCGGCATCTGTGACCTTATCGCAAACGCCTAACTTCGAGGTAATCCTCGATCAACTCTCCGCACCCAAAAATTAAAAGAAAATTGCTATATATGCTTCACCAGTGGATCGACCACGGCGAATAACAAAGGCGTATCCCATCAAGTTCAGCAGGGGAGAAATCGTGGCATTAACAGAAACAAGATTTGGGCGAGTTTCAAGCATGACATTGTTTACATTGAAACACGTGCACTCGTCGACACCTCCGTGAACGACATAATTGACATGTACCTAATGCATATTGCATCAATCATGACTCAGCACTAACTTCTAATTCAACTGATAACTAAACGATATCGTTGAAATGGGCAGAACTTAACAGACGGAAATGATGTTACGCAACCCGAAATATGTAATAGCCGAATAGAAATAAAAAAAAATCAAAGAATAAATACATGTGGCAACGCTGGTGGCGCTCCACACCGCCTGCCCGCCCGCTTTGTTCAGCACTCCGTACGGGCCAGTCTACACCGCCTGGCCGCCACCACCCAAAGTCACCATGCAAAAACTGGGGTGGCTGATGCTGGTATCAGCTGATGAGCACCCTGACACTTGCACTTGTACGGCAAACATTCACATCCGAAACGTTTATCCAAGATTTAAACGAAAAAAAATTTATAAGTTAAACCTTGCATTCATAATGTCATTCGTTGCGCTCGGCACCGGCAAAGACCATAAATCTATGTCGCAACCGACGATCTCATTAAAAGCGAGTATAGTAAAACTGATAGACTTTCTTAACTCATCTATAAATAATAGAAAATTATCAAATACAGAATTATGATAGCTGCTAGCAAGCCAGAGTCCGCCATTTGCTAGAGCTGTGGAGGGATCGGAGAGGATTTACCTGACGATAGCCTGTAGACGACTCCAGGGCCAAAGTTTCGTAGCTGACGACTAAAAACTTCAGATAAACACTCGCATATATCTGTATTACATTCAAAATTCAATTTCAAGTTGTTTTAATACCAATAAACTGTTTAAGAACTGGTAAGAGAGAGAGCGAGAGGCAGCCGGTATCGACCAAGAGCACGGCAGACCTAGACACACCACCGGCCTCTTTTCAACACTAACATCACTCTTTCAATAAACTCATACTTTTTATATAACATCACTTGTGTCACACAACTTTACTCTTGTCGAGAAAACAACTGGATACTTAAACTGGAACCGTTGGAATCGACGCTTTTTCTACAGCTCATGATAGCTGAACGCGCACTGTACGGCGCACGGAGACTCATCCATGACCAGTTGTTCGCATAACTTCGCACTTTAGACGACTTTCAACGTCTATTTTCTTATTTATTTAAACTTACAACTACAAAGAAACACTTTAACACTCAGACTTTTAGCTTTGTACACCACAAAATTGCCGAAATAAGGCAATAACTATAGAAAATCTTGGAGCATACCGCGGTTGTACGTCGCTTCGCTGTCTGCCCAGTCTTTGGCGTTGAACAAGGCATGATGGCGCCTCGAAGAACGATTTTTTACACACTTTCTCACTTCATCTAGCGTGTTTCGTTTTTTCAACACTCATATTTTTTAGAAGCAACAATTATTAATCATTCAAGAATATAATTAAGCCACCATTCTGTCGAAAGATTCGTATAATTCACAATATAAGAGGATTCTTTCAACGCTTGGGAGCGTAGATGGCAGCACTGCGCAGTGGTGAAGGTGACTCTGAGCTGCCAGACGTAGGATAGAGCAGCTTATCTTCAGAAAAGTTCTCTGTGTTTTCTTATTTGAACAATCACTGCATATGAAATGCGTATAAACACAATTGCATGAGTAGCAAGAATGAAACCAATGATCACATTTAATGAAGCCCCTAGCGAATTGAATACAGAACGCAGTGATTAAGCACAATAGTACTAAAACGTTAGGAATTTATCTACGTACATGAAGCAAATTTTATTGATATTATTGTTTCGAATTCGAGCTATCTCGACTAACTTATTATCCTTAAGAGATCAGTATATATCAATTAATTAATGCACTGGAAATTATCAATACATTTGAGGTACACTTACTTCACCTGTTGTACTATGTATACTGCTATGGATGGAGATGTTTGCAATGAACGCATATGCTTTTCACAAACAATAATAATTATTTTTAAAGCATAAAAACTCCAGAAGTAATTCTTTGAGACTCAGTTACAACGGAAACGTTTACATAGGCAAATAGCGCACGCGCGTAAACCAAATATTCGTGCAATTTTCACTGTTTCAATTTTAAAAACTTCACATCAAATGCCAATAATATTCTCCTTACATCACTGCATTAAACATTTTTTACCCTGTGGCTTCTGGCTACCAAAGCATTCGTCACTTAGATTAGAGCAGGAACACTGGAGTAGAACTTGTGACTGGCAGCACTCGGACCACGCATTCCCGCGCATTTTTCTTAGTGCTTCATTCGACTTTTTTTGCGTTTTCTTACTGAGGCAATAATAGGCTGACGACTGAGTTATGACATGATAAAGCGATGCAGCTATCGTGGTGTAATTGTTCTCGGTTAGAGCGCTCAGAAGAAAAGAGAGAGAGAATATGACGCTACTTTAAAAAAAAAAAAAACAAGTAAAGACCACTGAAGGCATGACAATGATACAAAAAAGATAAGTTGAAAACGACTAACTTCCTCCCCTGCTGGCTGCTCGGTATTCAATGCGTAAATGATTAGTTTTAATATCTATCCAGGGCATTTACAGAGTGGTTGACAATTTATGTGTTGGATCAATTTAACAAATCATCTCTGAGCTGCCTCTAAGAATTTGTTGTGGTTATTTTCCCTGTTCAAACAAAAATGGTGACGAATAATAACTGTCGATGCAATCTACCTTCCTTTCTACTTATGTTAAAAATTCGTGTTCCGCAAAGAGTTCTTGATTCCCTTAAAAACAGTTTTGCAATAAACAAAGTATTTTTGAGTCAGTGCTAATTCTTTTATCTTTGACGACACGTCACAGTTAAATTTCTTCTTTTACATTTCAAGAATTTAATTTAAAAGTTTACCTTGATTCCTAGTGGATTAATAACCGTTGTGGGTTTGATGCCTACAAGTCGGTCCTAGTTTGTGGTTCTCAATATTTGTTTTTTTTTATTGTTCTTATTCGTCATAAGAAATTGATCTAGAGTATTGGTAAAAAATAATATTATTCATTTTTTATCGAATTAGAAGCACCAGTAACAACAATAAAGATCTTCAAAAACTCAAGGCTCTGTTTCAAATAAACAGGTAGTATGTGTCATTGTAAAATATGACCAATGAATAGGGAAACAAATGGATGAATATTCAAATATTATTCCAGATAATGGATGTTAAATTAAGGAATGCCAGTTTAAGTGTTGAATTTACGTCCAACGACTGCACACCCCGAATTAACATATTATATTCTTTTTCCATTAATATAGAGCAAGAAAAAAATACTTTATTTCAAACTTGATTATCTTAAATCTATATCACTCCAGAATCCCTTATCGTAGTCATGATAAAAATAGAAATGATGTACATATTGGCATATATCAATATCGAAGAGCAATCAGGAGCAAAAGCTTCTTCACGCGGAGCACAAATTTACTAGTTGCCTCACAAATTTCAGTTCCGAACTGCATTCAGAATTTGAGTAGAAAAAATTGAACACGGTCAAGTAGAATCTCATCAAACAATACCAAAGAAAACAATTCATTTCCGGCTAATCGGAAAATATTTCGACAAGTTTACATTTTGAACACTTTCATAAAGAAGATTCAATGAGTAAGGGTTAAAAATACAGATTGCCTTTTGAATGTAATTTCAAAGGATTTCTACAGAAATGCACAATGATATAAGTTATTTTATAAGCTCGTTTCATCGCTCATTTCAATTCTCGCCTAGAGTTGACAATGAGTCAACGTAGAAACATCAATGGAAAAAACCTATTATTTTAGAAGCTAATATTTAAGCATGGTTCGATTGCGTCGTGTAAAGAAATGCACAATAGCGGTAATAGCTGTTTCAGCGTTTATTAGGCCGTAGGCCTGTCGCCGATTCTTAACATCGCAGAACTTTCACAGCATTTTGCGGTCTCGAACTCGCAACTCACTGCTACAATTCTGCTTTTGCACCGCCCGGCCTCCTTGCCGATTCTGACCAGAACTGGCGCACAGAGCTGGGATCGAACCCGCGCCTCTCTGCGCCAATCTTGGTACCCTGAACTGTAACCACGGGGCCATGCTTTTGCTCAGCATTCCAAAAAAGCAACTGCTTGATGCTCAGCAGAAAGAACTTAGTACTCACGCAAATTGAACAAGAAATTATGTGATTATGTACTGGCTCGTTATGCGTCTTAATTTCATGAGCGTCTCATTTCTAATTGTGCTCTTAAATCTTTTTCTCTTAATTTATACAGCGTTTTAATCTACTTTTTTTCGTGATTGAAGTTTCAACTTTTCCGTCATGTATTGATTCATATATGTTACCCGCTTGCGACCGACCGCTCTCTAAGAATTTACCTAAATAAAATAATAACTGCAAAATAAGTAAATGACAAAATGATTCATACGACTACAATTAACACGCATCGCCTCGCAGGGAGAGCGCGCTATAGACGTGATGATGTATGCAAGGCTGCGTGTCAGCAACAAGTGGTTATTCTAAAACCGCTCCGCTTCGATCGCGACAGCTATAGACCACCTGAGGTTACGTGGTGCACTGCCGGTGAACATCAGTAGCTTAGAATGGAACATTGACATAGATTTACGTTCAGAAAACCAGAAACGATCAATTTACGTCAATTGTTCTCAACATTTTAAATGGAAATTACGTCGTAGACAATTATACTGTTCATTAAAATTATCTAGGTATAATAAATTACATGCACTGCGTGATTAAAAGAACATTAATTTCTTCAGGAATCCATTTATTACCAGGGAGACAAAAATGTCATTGTAAAAGTAACATACATGAATAGGTAACCATAAAATTACAGATAATCTTTCTTTGCTCCTATGTACGTCACACTATAAATTTTTGTCAATTTTCTTAATTAAAGTCTCAAAATTATATATAGAATTATCCCTCGTGATGCCTGTGTTGCAGGTGATGCATGTCATTTCACAAGCAGTGCATGCATGCGGGAATTTGAAATCATCTGTAACACAAAACAATCGTGAAAATATCTTAAGTATTAACAAATCGTTAGCTAAGGTGTAAGCTTGGGAAACTATCGATATAAGTATAGGCAAAAACAACAAATCTTGAGTAAAAAAGCTCGATTACAAACAAACCCAATTTTTTGTTCGCGCATAAAATTGCCGCATCGCTGTGTTTAGCCATTGCTCCTCCTACTGTTCTTTGTTGAAGATAATGCTAGGAAGTTGATTAGTTTTGAAAACATAGCAGAGACTTCGAAACAACTCCAAATTGTAAAAACTCAAACTTCAATTTTGCCAACAAATTTCAAATCATCACATTAGAAAAAATTATTGCTAGAGCTTAACATTAACGTGAATACATTTTTATCTTACCATCATGCGAACGACAATCAAACATATATTTCACTGTGCACGATTGTATTCACTGCACAGTGTAAAATGTATTCACTGCACAGAGAAATATATGCCGTGATTTTTACCAGCTTTCTCCAACGAAGCGTTCACCTACCAAAATTGACGTTCTGCATTCAGGCACTTTGGCATAATACCTGCTGATGTTTTCAATTTAACAAGAGGTTTAATAATAAAGCACTAGAAGCTCACGCTACAATGAAACCCGAAGCCAACTCTATTGATAAGAGCACTCGAATCCTTTGTCAAACTAAATAAGTCGCGAGCAAACATCCAATTATAGTGAACTGGATCTATCGGGAGCTTGTTTAAAGAGTGAGCACGTTGATTAAAAGTGCAGCGCATAATCAGGTAGGATAGTGCACTTGGGGAGGTTGGGACATAAATAGGCAGAAATATCGACAGATATTTGAGATGATGATCTTTTAAGTTTTTTAACTAAGTTCTTCTGTTTAATTATGGTACCTATTCTCATGTCATCATCAGCGAAGGAAAATTACTCAACTGATCCTTACAAAATTAATCAATTAATCATTTTATTGACTTTTCGGACAGCTCTGAATTCGTATTCAGTTCTTTAACTGTGAAAAATCGATATTGATGAAGAAGATACAATTCCTAAGCATGAAATAATAAATTTTGCAGAATGAGTAGAACAAAAAAAATCATAGTGTAAAATTTTTAAAAAAATTTAGCCACCAACTTAAAAGTGGTTTCACTGCCAATTACTTCCTTTCGGCAAGAAATGCACCAATCACAAGTTCTATTAATGCTCCAAATTTCATTCTTTAAATCGCTCGAAGTTGAAAGCACGGAACCATGCATTATTATCATTTGAGCTGATCAAGATGAAATAAAATTATATTTAACACGAAGTTTGCATGTAGTAACAAGATTTGATCAGAACCTGTTCAGTCTCTATACATATGAAAGCAAAACAGCACCGTATACGTTCGAACCCCATACACTCTTAGCCCCTCACACGCAGCCCTCATCTCATCGTTCCGCCGTCCATTTCCCTCGGCCTCCAAAGTCCCCTCTACGGCTCTCCATCCGAGGGATGTTTTGCAGAGCAGCGTCACATTTTCCCCTCGTTCTTTCCATGGGTTTTGAGAGAACACA